TCATTTTAACTTTTATTTCAGATTCAGTGTACAGGTACAGGTTTGTTACACTGGTATATTGCTTGATGCTGAGGTTTGGGGTATGAAGCTCCCAGGTAGTGAGCACAGTACCCCATAGGTAGTATTTCAACCCTTTCTCCCCTTTTTCCTCCCCTTCTTAGTAGTCCCCAGTGTTTATTGTTGCCTTCTTTATGTCCATGTGTACCCAATGTTTATCTCTTTCTTATACAGAAGAACATGAGGTATTTGGTTTTCCGTTTCTGAATTAACCACTAGGATAACGACCTCCACCTGCATCTAAGTTGCTGCAAAGGCCATGATTTCATTCTCTTTTATTGTAATTTTTTTTTCTGTTTTCAACTTTTATTTTACATTCCAAAGTACATGTGCAGGTTTGTTACATAAGTGAATACTGTGTGTTGCTGAGGTGTTTAATGTATGAATGATCTCATTATCCTAGTAGTAAGTATAGTACCCAATAGGTATTTTTTCAATCCTGTTGCCCTCCCAATCTCCCAGCTCTAGTAGTCCCCAGTGTCTCTTGTTCTAATCTTTATATCAGTGTGTACTCAGTGTTTCACTCCCACTTTTAAGTAAAAACCTGCAGAATTTGGAGTTTTGTTCCTGTGTTAATTCATTTAGGATAATGACCTACAGCTGCATTCTTGTTGCTGAAAAGGACATGATTTCATTTTTATGGCTGTGTAGTATCCCATGGTGTATATGTACCACATTTTTTAAAATTCAGTCCATGGTTGATGGGCATCTAGGTTGATTCCATGTCTATGCTATTGTGAATAGTGCTTCAATGGACATTGAGTGCATGTGACTTTATGAGAGAACAATTTATTTTCTCCTGGGCATATACCCAGTAATGGGCATACTGAGTTGAATAGTAGTTTTAAGTTCTTTGAGAAATCTCCAAACTGCTTTCCACAGAGGCTGAACTAATTTACATTTTCACCAGTAGAATGTTTCCTTTTCTCCACAGCCTCATCAGCATCGGTTATTTTTTGTCTTTTTAGTAATAGCCATTCTGATTGGTGTGAGATGATATCTCACTGTGGTTTTGATTTGCATTTCTCTAACAATTAGTGATGATGTGCATTTTTTTCATACATTTGTTGGCCACATGCATGTCTTCTTTTGAGAAGTGTCTGTTCATGTTCTTTGCCCATTTTAATAGGATTAGTTTTATGCTCGTTGAAATTGTTTAAGTTCCTTATAGATTATGCATATTAGACCTTTGTCAGATGTATGGCTGGCAAATGTTTTCTCCCATTCTGTAGGTTGTCTGCTTTGTCTGTTCTTTGGTATTAGTTACTAAAGAGTTACTGTGTTTCTTTGGTGGTGTCATGTTTTCTTGCTTTATCGTGTTTCTTGTGTCCCTACTTTGATGTCTGCTTGTCTGGTGGATCATTCAGCACCTCTGAACATTACAGAGTGGCTTTAATAGGAAAGCTTTCACCTGCAGATGGGTTTTAGTGTACCCATTGGGACAGGTGTGGTGGCTCTACTTCCTAATAGATGCAGTGATGGCTATGCATGCCTCAGCCAAAATACCAATTCCCCAAGAGGCAATATATTGTTTCAGTACTGGCCCAGGGGCCATGACTGCTCTGGGTGACCAAGGAACTAATTCCCTAGGAAGCAGAGTGCCACTTCAGAATAGAGTCAGGAGCATGATTCCTCTGGGCAGCTAAGATAATGCCACTCGGCCACAAGGTAGTCCCACAGCAGCCCAGCTCAGGGATGGTATTCCACCAAACTGGGGTGGTTCAGTGGCAACAAAGTCTCAGAAATAGAAATGTGCCATAGCTTCTCACATATAGAGCAGGACACACTCCAGCAGTAGTTCCAGGTCCAAGATGCTGCAGTACAGTAGCCCCTTCAGCCATGAGGAATGGGGCACAATGTCAACTCCTCTGGGAGGAGCATAGGCATGTGGACCCCAAGAAGCTTCCTGGGGTGGGCTTTGCACCCATGACAAGTGCAGGAGTTTTCAGTGGTGAGAACTATAGGTGTCCAATGTGGTGATAGAGGCTGCAGAGGGCCTCTTACTTACCTTTTTTCTGCAGTGAGAAGTCTTTCCTCGTTCTGACTTGATCCCAACTGAGGGAGGAGGGGGCAAAGGCAAGGTGTTTCCTTCTATTCTCTATAAGGCCATTCTGGGTTTCCATGCTCTACAGAGTTTATGCTTCTCCTTTGTTATACTCTTGTAGCCTCCTTTAGTTATTCTCATCAAGATGTCCTTGTGTGGGGATGAGCACTAAAGGCTTCTAGTGTAAATTAGCTTGCTAATATTACTCCAGTATGAACATTTTAACGTTAATTCTTCCACTACATAAACATGGGATATCTTTTCATTGCTTTGTGTCTGAAATTTCCTTCATCAATGTTTTAATAATTTCAGCATACTGATTTTTTACTTTTTGGTTACATTTATATCTAACTTGTTTATTCTTTTTGAAAGTTTTGAAAGTTTTTTAAATAATTAATAATTATTTGAAATAATTATTTAATAAAGTTATTTTATTTATTTATTTTATTTCATTTTATTTTTGAGATGAAGTCTCACACTGTTGCCCAGGCTGGAGTGCAATGGCGTGATCTCGGCTCACTGCAACCTCCACCTCCCAGGTTCATGCAATTCTCCTGTCTCAGCCTTCTGAGTAGCTGGGATTACAGCTACACACTGCCACACCCAACTAATATTTTGTATTTTTAGTAGAGGCAGGGTTTCATCATGTTGGCCAGGTTGGTCTCAAACTCCTGACCTCATGATCCACTTGCCTCAGCCTCCCAAAGTGCTGGAATTACAGGCATGAGTCACTGTGTGTGGCTAAAGCCATTTCCTAATAATTAAAATGGCTAATTATTTTAACTATTTTCATTTTTATGGCTGTGTAGTATCCCATGGTATATATGTGCCACATTTTTTAAAATTCAGCCCACGGTTGATGGGCATCTAGGTTGATTCCATGTCTATGTTATTGTGAATAGTGCTACAATAAACATACGAGTGTATGTAAATTTATGATTTTAAGTGATTATTTAGTAATAATTTTAAAATAAACTCCCAGGTATATGGTCCACTAATATTTGACAAGGGTGTCAAGAATGAATACAAAATAAAAAAGGACAGTTTCCTCAATTAATAGTGTTAGAAAAACTGGATATCCACATGCAAAAGAATGAAACCAAAACCTTATCTTACACCACTCATGAAAATTAAAATGTATTAAAGACTTAAATGTAAGGCCTAAAACCATAAAATTCATAGAAAGAAAAATAGGAAAAAAAAGCCTGGGCAATGATTTTTTTTAATAGCTGTAAGAAGAAAAGCTCCTGTGAACATGGAACTGAGAGTGGCATGGAGTTTGCAGGCAGTGGTCTGAAGCCTGCATGCACCCTTGGTGCCTGCTGCACCCTGCCTGCAGAGGCTCTGGTGGCTGAGGGAAGGCGCCTTCCAAACACGTTCTGCTTTCAGTGCATAAATTCACAGAGGAATATGAATGCATAATAACAGAAAATGGTATTGGAACAGTGGAAATCAGCAATTTTGCACAGGAATCTTTGGGAGCTGTTGTTTACTGCAGTAAGCCTGAAGTTGGGACAAAATTGAACAAACAAGATGACTTTGGTGCTTTGGAAAGTATGAAAGCTACTAATGAACTCTTTACTCCTTAATCAGGAAAAGTAACTGAAATTAATGAATCCCTTGAAGAAAATCCAGAGTTGTCAACAAATCTTGTTATGAAGATGATTGGCTGATCATGTTGACACTCAATAACCCTTCAGAACTAGATGAATTACAGTTCACACCTGTAATCCCAGCACTTTGGGAGGCCAAGTGTTATGAAGATGATTGGCTGATCATGTGACACTCAGTAACCCTTCAGAACTAGATGAAGTACAGCTCATGCCTGTAATCCCAGAACTTTAGAAGGCCAAGGCTGGCACATTACCTGAGGGCAGGAATTCAAGACCAGCCTGGCCAACATGGTGAAACTCCATCGCCATTAAAATATAAAAATTAGCCGGGCATGGTGGCACATGCCCATAATCCCAGCTACTTGGGAGTCTGAGGCAGGAGAATCACTTGAACCCGGGAGGCAGAGGTTGCAGTGAGCCGAGATCATGCCACTGCACTCCAGCCGGGGCAACAGAGCAAGACTCCATCTCAAAAACAACAAAAAAAATTCTAATTATTGCAGATAAAATATGCTTCTTTTTCACAATACCCTATGATTTTTAGACTAGGCTCTAGTATTCAGAATTCATGAAATTATCTATGGTAAAATCTAGTTATTAATAGTATGTAATTCAAGGCTAACATTGTTGTCTTAAGCCTTATGTAATATTGTCACTTGCTTACATCTATATCTGGATTTGGTTCAAAATACTTAATCGTCTTTCATTGGGAGTGGAGAACTTTTTGTTGATGAATGTACAGTGTCAGATGAAGAACAACACTATCTTAATTTTGAAAGCTAGTAGATTTGCTGGTGCTAGTTTTATACAGTGAAGCAACAGCTTTGCAGCAAAATAAGAAGTCAAATATTCAACTTCATTTAAAAATAAGAAAACCAGAAACAAAAGCAGAAATAGACAAATGAGATTGCATCAAAATAAAAAGCTTCTGCATAGCAGTGGGAACAATAAAAAAATGAAAGAGCAGCCTATAGAATGGGAGAAAATATTTGCAAACTATATATCTGACAAGGGGTTAATATCCAAAACATGTAAGACGGGGTGTCCAGCCTTTTGACTTCTCTGAGCCACACTGGAAGAATTGTCTTGGGCCACACATAAAGTACACTGACATGAACAACAGCTTTGAGCTAAAAAATCTCATAATGTTTTAAGAAAGCGGTGTGGGTTTACCAAATTGATTATGATAATCATTTCATAACATATGTAAACCTAAAAAATATACAATTTTATTTGTCAATTATACATCAATATAGCAGGGATGAAGAGAAAACCAGATAGGAGGAGAAACCACATCACATAATTTTATTGGTAAATAATTCTTTAGCAACCAGACAAAAATTGAGAGAGACTCATGTTCTCTCCATGTGTGCACAATAGGGGTCTCCAGTACAGTCTCTGGCACATGAAAAAATGCTCAGTAAATGCTCATTTTATGAAAAAGTGAGTCAATCAATGTACAGACCAATTCTCTCGTAAGTAGAATAGTTGACAGCCCACCTACATTCTATAGACCCCCTCTTACACATAAATAAGAAGAGCTTATTATCTATCCCTATAATGACAGATGCCAATCCAACCACCTGTTCATGGAGAATGTTCAGTTCATAAATGGATCTTCATCATCTCACAAACTGAACTTTGATGACCGTCACAAGAAACGTCATTCCAGCCCCAGCTTCTGGGATAACGACGAAAATTTAGCGTAACACAGCGCTCATTCCTATCATTGGGCTCACCTTGATGCCAGAATCTGAAAAGGAAAAAAAGATTTCTTCCAACAGAGCTTCGAAAGGGTTAAAGACAGGGGCGAGGAGCTAGGGATGAACTTCATGGCACTTAGGGTCAGATATGCCCAAATCCACCTTTCAGCCATTTGTCATCCAGTTTCTCCTCTATCTGCATTTCTGGCATTTTCCCTGAAAACCGCCTACATCTCTCAGTGTTCTCTATCTTAGTGCTTTGAATATCCTCACAGCAGATTTTCTAGAGATTCTCTTCTATTCGTCCATCCTTATGTCCTTTTTCTATGGGTTTGTCAACCTATAGAGTGTTCTCAAATGATGAAAAGATTTCACCCTGATCCCACTTGTCAATACAGTTTTTTCCTTTTCCTTTTTTTAATGCACTGTTTTTAAAGTCTTTCTAGACTACAACTAGTAAAATATTTTGGATCTTCTACTTATCCCTGTTACCGGATAAGTAATTTAATTTCCCTGATTCTCAGTTTTTCTATCTAAAAACTGGAAACTAGAGTAATATCACTATGTATTTCACACAGTGGATATGGGATCAAAGGTGGTAATCCAGTAAACTACTTGAGTTTTTAAAGAATTACATAAATATGAGATATAAGAGTATCAGAATTTAGCATTTTTGCTTCATAAGAAATACGAAATCTTTAACCTGATTGCGTGTGGTGGCACACACTTGTCATTCCAGCAACTGAAAAGGGAGGATCACTTGAGCCAGGGAGTTCAAGGCTGCAGTAAGTCATGACTGCACGACTGCCCTCAGCCTGGGTGACAGAGTAAGACTCTGTCCCCAAAAAAAAAAAGAAATATTAAATCTTAATAATTGGTTATGGTCTTAATCAACATGGATTTTCACTATGTAGAGACAGGTAAATATACTTGTTGGTTACAAACACAGTAAGATCCCCCTTGATCTGAGAACTATTTTTGACACCACTAGGTGACCCAAACTCAATTTCCTCATATCTACAGTGGGAAAACGTATGCCTCATAGGGTTCTTGTACAAATTAAATGACATAATGAAGTTATTTAACCTAGTGCCCAAGAGCTAAAAGAAGAGTGAGCTATTCTAATTTTAGAACTGATAGCTAGAATACCCTAAGCTCTCTGCATGATCCAGGACAAAAGATTCTTTTATCTCATTCTATACTCACGTGGAACTTTCGTTGTATGGTGTCTGATCAACCCATTGCCAATGTCGCTGACCTTCTGGATCTGAGAGCCCCACAAAATAAGCAGAATTTTCTTCCAGATTCTGGAAGATGAAATTCTGAGGGGTGGAGAAAAAAGGAGTCACAGCTTGAACTGAATTCTTAATACCTTAGGCCGGGCACAGTGGCTCACGCCTGTAATCCCAGCACTTTGGGAGGCTGAGGTGGGTGGATCACGAGGTCTCTTGACCTCCCAGGTCAAGAGATCGAGATCATCCTGACCAACATGGTGAAATCCCCATCTCTACTAAAAATATAAAAATTAGCTGGGCATGCTGGTGTACCTATAGTCCCAGCTACTCGGGAAGCTGAGGCAGGAGAATTGCTTGAACCCAGGGGACAGAGGTTGCAGTAACCAGATATCACACCACTGCACTCCAGCCTGGAGCCTGGCAACAGAAAAAGACTCTGTCTCAAAAAAACAAAAAAAAACTACCTTAGAGAAATGAGAAGAAAAGGAAAGGATCAAGCAACAGCTACATGGGAGTTCTGCATAGGAATTCAGGTCTCTGGCTGAGCAGGACAGAATCAAATACATCATTTGTGACCATGATTTTCAGTACATATGGAAGCAATGCCTTTTTTTTTTTTTTTTTTTTTTGAGAAAGAAGTCTCACACTCTTGCCCAGGCTGGAGTACAATGGCATGATCTCAACTTACTGCACCTGTGCCTCCCAGGCTCAAGCAATTCTCATGCCTCAGCCTCCCCAGGAGCTGAGACTACAGGTGTGTGCCACAATGCCTGGTTAATTTTTGTAGTTTTAGTAGAGGCGGGGTTTCACCATATTGGCCAAGCTGGTCTTGAACTCCCAGCCTCAAGTGATCTGCCAGCTTCAGCCTCTCAAAGTGCTGGGAGTACAGGCATGAGCCATCATGCCAAACCAGTATGGAAGCAATTTCTATGATCAAAATAAATTCTCATCTCAGGTTTGCTTCCCCTCTTTTCTTCACTAAGAGATTACATTCTTCAAAGTTATACATGAGAAAATTTTGGCAGATTCAGTCATTTTCCTTTCATAACTTCAGAGATTCTTTAATTTCATTCCTGAATGTTGTGATTCATCATTATTTAACTTTATTTATTTTCTCTACTCAATTTAATACCTCTTCTCTGCTACATAGTTAATCATGTATAAAACATTAACATGTTGAAATAACAAATTGATATTTCAGACTCAAATATTTTCATCCTTCCATTCAACCCTCATATATCTTTAATGCCACAATTTCTTTTGGGGAGGTTAGTTTTACTGAAGCAGGAAGAAGGTATGGAATATAAAGGTGTAGGAGCCCTTTCTATTTTATTGAAAGCCTTCTGCCACAGCACAAAAATCCCAAAATAACAAAAACCTCCTTCTTAGCCAAGAGAGATATACAAAGATCAGGCAGGGCTCACAGCCCCATTATCTAATAGAAAGTACCTGCTCTTCCCGAGTGTTTATCACCAGCAAGTGAGCCTCCATTCTAGCGCATTTCTTCTCACTCTCTTGCCAAGATGCTGATTCGGTAGAAATAAAGTAGCAGTTGGAACTAAACAACTTCCAGTTCTTTGGGCAACAGTTCCAGGCTGTCTCTGTATTGGGAAGAGGGACACATACTCTTCCCTAGAGTGCAATATAAATAATGCTTTTTAAAGTGTGTGGATTATTAAAATTAAGAGCCAAGGGAGACCACATAGAAACTGGAACTCCCATCTCCACTCCGACGTAACCAAGAGCTCCTGCCCCTCAGGTGTAAGGAAGCCAAGTCTACCTCAATCAGGCAGTAATGAGGAGGCAGGGCCCCTTTTCTCCTGCTGACATGGTATCTGAAAAGGCCAGCTATTGATAAAACATGTTTAAATAAGATCCAGACTCTGAGACTATAATGCAAAAATGTCCAGAGTGCAATGGAAAATAACTCATTATACTAAGAACCAGTAAGTTTTCTAATTTAGTAAAAAATAATAATCAAGACAACAAAAATGTTAGAATTATCTGAAAAAGATTTTAAAGCAGCCATTGATAAAATGCTTCAACAAGGAGATACAAACAGCCTTGAAACAAATGAAAAACTACAAAGCTTCAGCAAAGAAATATAAGATATAAAGAAAAACCAAATGGGAATTTTATAATTGAAAAATAGGATAACCAAAATAAAAAGCTCCGTGGATGGACTCAATAGCAGAATGAAGGAGATAGAGAGATTAGTGAATTGGAAGACAAAACAACAGAAACTATCACCTGAACAACAGAAACAAACTAAACAGAAAAGGCTGAGCTGTGGCTAACACCTGTAATCCCAGCACTTTGGGAGGCCAAAGTGGGCAGATCACCTGATATCAGGAGTTTGAGACCAACCTGGCCAACAACACACAATGGGGTGGAGGGAGCAGGCGTAGGGAGGGAGGGCATCAGGAATAATAGATAATGGATGCTGCGCTTAATGCCAGGGTGATGGGTTGATCTGTGCAGCAACCACCATGGCACACGTTTACCCATGAAACGAACCTGCACATCCTGCACATGTACCCCGGAACTTTAAATAAAAGTTGAAGAAAAAAAAAAAAAAAAAAATATATATATATATATATATCCATGAGTACATGCAGATATAAATAAATGACTGGATAAATAAATAAATGGTCAAACACCATCTCTACTAAAAATATAAAAATTAGCTGGGCATGGTGGCGCACACCTGTAATCCCAGCTACTCAGGAGGCTGAGGCAAGAGAATCACTTGAACCTGGGAGGCAGAGGTTGCAGTGAGCCAAGATGCCACCACTGCAGGCCAACCTGGGTGACAGAGCAAGACTCCGTCTGAAAACACACACACACACACACACACACACACACACAAAACTAGACAGAAAGAAAAATAAACAGACCCTTGTAAAGTGACCCCAAATGTGTATAGGTAGGCCAAACAAAGCTCCAAAATGTATGAAGCAAAACTGATACAACTGAAAGGACGAATTGACAAATATACAATTTTAGGTGGATACATCAACACATCTCTCTTAAAAATTGACAGAACTACACAGAAAATCAGCAAGAACACAGAAGAACTTAAAAGTATTATCAACTACCAGGATCTAATCCACATTTATAGAACATTCCACCCAACAACCAAATACCCATTCTTTGCCAGTGCCCCTGGAATATATGCTAAAACAAACCAACATATCCTGGGACATTAAATAACCTCAACAAATTTTAAATTGCCGAAATCATATAATCTTCTCCAACCACAGTGAAAACAAACCAGAAATTAATAAAAGAAAGAACACAGGAAAATCTCCACTCACTTGAAACTAAACAACATACTTCTAAATAATCCAGCAGTCAAAGGAGACGTCTAAACGGAAATTTTAAAAAATCCATTGAACTGAATGATTCAATTTTGATAATACAAATTATCAAAATTTATAGAACACTGTTCTTCAATCAAAGCAATTAGGGTTCCTCAAAGAAATATCTGATTTTAGGATAGGGACATGAAATGTACAATGTGAGTCTCAAGCATTTTGCAGTCCCAGAAAGTGAGGAAGTGCTAACCCAAAAGAAAAGTAAAAACACATTGTGGTGATATGTTAAAGGGTCACAGGAGTCAAATGAAAGAGTTTCCAATGTCCAAAGCTGGAACTACAAAATAAAGTAGGATTGAATTGTAATCCAAAATTTAAAATAAATATCCATGAGTTGGACAAATGGTGAAAAACAACACACAATGGGGTGGAGGGAGCAGGCGTAGGGAGGGAGGGCATCAGCAATAATAGATAATGGATGCTGGGCTTAATACCAGGGTGATGGGTTGATCTGTGCAGCAACCACCATGGCACACGTTTACCCATGAAACGAACCTGCACATCCTGCACATGTACCCCAGAACTTTAAATAAAAGTTGAAGAAAAAAAAAATATATATATATATATATCCATGAGTACATGCAGATATAAATAAATGACTGGATAAATAAATAAATGGAATAAAGAGACAAATATCATTTGGGCAAAATTTCAAATAAATTATATAGATACTTGTGATGGTTAATTTTATGTGTCAACTTATCTGGCACACAGTGCCGAGATATTTGGTCAAACATTCTGGATATTTCTGTGAGGATGTTTTTGGATGATATTTACATTTAAATTGCTGGACTCTGAGCAAAGCAGACTGCCCTCAATAATGTAAGTAGACTTCATTTAATCAGTTGAAGATCTGAATGGAACAAAAAGAAGACTTCTGAGCAAAAAGAAATTCAGTGGACTGCCTTTGGACTTCATCTGCAGCATTGGTTCTTCAAGGTTCTGCAGCAGATGGCCTTTGGACTCAAACTGCAACTCTTACTCCTGAGTCTCCAGCCTGCTGACCATGACTGATACCATACTCCACCCTCATGAATGGAGAGCATAACTCCCCAATCCTTAATTGTGGGCTATACCTTCCAAACAGTGTAGTATGGAAAGCAGGGGGTGGGGAGAGGGAAAGAGTAATTTTACAGTGGAGAAACTTGATAAACACTACCTTAGTCAAGTGATCAAGATCAACATCGATAGTCAATAATCATTTTTTTTTTTTGAGATGGAGTCTTGCACTTGTTGCTCAGGCTGGAGTGCAATGGTGCACTCTCAGCCCACTGTAATCTCTGCCTCTTGAGTTCAAGTGATCCTCCTGCCTCAGCCTCTTGAATGGCTGGGATTACAGGCACCCACCACCACACCCAGCTAATTTTTTGTATGTTAGTAGAGATGGGGTTTCATAATGTTGGCCAAGCTGGTCTCGAACTCCTGACCTCAGGTGATCCACCCTTCTCGGCCTCCCAAAATGCTGGGATTACAGGTGTGAGCTACCGCACCTGGCCTAGAATCATTTTGATAATACATACCCTTGATATGATGTAATGAAAATAGCATTTTACATCTGCAACCTTACTCCCAAAAACCAATAAGCCCAGTCTAATTATTAGAAAAACATCAGACAAATTCTAATGGACATTCTACAATATTCCTGACCAGTACTGCTCAAAACTGTGAAGGTCATCAAATATTAGGAAAATCTGAGAAACTACCATAGCGAATAGGAGCCTCAAGAAACATGGGAACTCAATGTAATGTGTTGTTCTGGATGAGGATCCTATTACAGAAAACAAACATTAGGTGAACACTAAGGAAATCTGAAAATTGTGCGTTTTAATTAATAATAATATACCAATATTGGTTAATTATTTGTAAAAAATACATTATATTCATGTAAAATGTTAATAATGGGGACAGCATGTGTGCAGAGCAGGGGCAAAATGAGATCTCTTTGTATTACATGCTCAATTTTTCTGTAAATATAAAATTGTTCTTAAAAATAATCTATTGGCCAGGCACGGTAGCTCACTCCTGTAATCCTAGCACTGGGAGGCTGAGGTGGGAGGAATGCTTGAAGCCAGGAGTTCAAGACCAGCCTGGGCAACATGGCAAGACCCTCTCTCTACAAAATTCAAAAAGAAAAAAAAATAGCCAAGTGTGGTGGTGCACGCCTTTGATCCCAGCTACCGGGAGGCTGAGGTGGAGGATTACTTAGAGCCCAGGTGATCAAGGCTATTGTGAGCTATAGTCACACCACTGTATTCCAGCCTGGGCAACAGAGTGAGACCCCATCTCGAAAATAATAATAATAATCTATTAATTTAAAAAATTTAAATAATTCACATCCATAATAAAACCATCATCACATTTTCATCAAATGGTTTTAACTGATATATCAGAAAAAGAGAAAATGCATATAGAAAATTCAGAAAGAAGCAAAGGCTGAAGAAGTCTAAAAGCAATATAACCTTTTTCACAATTATGCTTCTATTTTTTTTCCATAGACAAATTAGATATATGAGTATATAGACAAATTTTACGACCAGGCACAGTGGCTCACGGCTGTAATCCCAGCACTTCAGGAGGCTGAGACAGGCAGATCGCTTGAGCTTAGGAGTTCAAAACTAGGTTGGGCAACATGGAGAAACCCCTTTTCTACAAAAATTAGCTGAGTGTAGTGGCCTGTGCTTGTAGTCTCAGCTACTCAGGAGGCTGAAGTGGGAGGATCGCTTAAGTGCAGGAGGTCAAGGCTGCAGTGAGCCAGCCATGTTTGCAGCACTGCACTCTAACCTGAGCAACAAAGTGAGACCATGTCTCAAAAAAACAATAACAAAAGAATTTTATGTCCTATATATTTGTATATTTGTAGCTTGAATTATTGTGAGACTCAACTTCTCAGTATGATCTACCTTGGAATCTTTATTGGAAATATTGACTTGGGATCCTTACATAGTATAGTCAGCAACTGAACTCTAGGCACATTAATTTTTACCTTCTGTGGTCACATTTTTTTTCACACACTCCAATGTTGTATGAACCAGGTCCTTTGTAGTCTTCTTCTCAAGAAGCTGAGAATATTTTTGAAAGAAAACTGGAAAAGAGAATAAACCATTTTTTTTCCTGGTAGCATTTACTTTGCTCCTTATCGTTACTTTCTTGCATTCTTTATTGAAACGAATCCTACAAATGCCCTATTACTTGAGTAGAGGGAAAAGATTTCCCATTTTGAAACTATAGATATCTCTAGGAATAGCTAAAAGATCAGTAGTTGGAAGAGGACACAACAGTTCCATCATAATGGATCTAAAGAGATTCCACATTCTCCTTCAACAGTTAATATAAGATGTATACAAAAGCTAACTCTGGAGGTAGGGGGATGGATGGCAATAAACACTTGTATTGAAGGATGTGCACACCCTGGGACTCTGCAGCAGAGGGGAGAGGGGCAAACTAAATCTGAGGAGTTCTGGGTTACCTTAGAGAATGGAGAATTTACAAGAGGACATTATTTTCTTCCTCGTCTTTCCATTACTCTCTCCATCCCAACTGGCTCATACTTCTCAGCACACCAATGATCTCTGGCTTCTCTTAATTTAAAATGAACCCACCTCTCCCTCTAGAAACTGAACTTCTTCTCTTTTATCCCTACCTTTCATTTGTTCCTTAACCAATCGTATTCTGGGTTTTACTTCCACTGTTTCACTAAAACCATACCTGAAATGGATGTTCAGTAATATCCTAGGGTTACCTGGTTATCTTCCTATTTGTCTTCCTTAAATGCTTGACCCCAGTTACCTCCCCCCTTAGCGCTTGGGACACTACTCTTTGCTGTTTTTGTCTTACATTTCTTGCTGCTGCATCTTACATTCTTTTATAAGTTCCTTTTCCTCCATCCACCTCCTTTAAAATATAACATTTTCCAGAGTTCCATCCTTATCCCTCTTTCTCATACTAAGTTCTCTCCCTGAGTGATATCATATATTCCCATGGCATCACCTACTACCTCTATGTGAAGGACTTCCAAAGCTCAGCCCTCTCTCCCTAAATCCAGACAAATGAGTCTCCCAGTGGACATGCCCCTTTGAGGTTCTCACGGTCATATAAAACTCAACATGCCCAAAACTTAAATCATCATCTTCCAAACCCAAACCTGCTACTGATTATATCAATTCCCTGTTTAAAATTCTTCAATTTTCTCCATGACTGTGACATGGCAAAAATGGCCACAACTTTCAACATTCCCTGTATCCACACTGCTTTACAATGTGATTTTCAGCTTCTTCAATCAAGAAATTAGGTCTATCTCTCCACCACCTGGATCTGGGCTGCCTGTAAGGCTTCTTTTGGCCAACAGAATGTGCAGGAGCAACTCTGCACTAGTTCCAAGGTGAGACTTCGAAAGGCCTTGCTTACTTTCGCTCTCAATCTTAAAAGCCTGCCACTTGCCATGTGAACAAACCCAGGCTAGCCTGATGAATGATAAGAGAAATGTGGCCAAATCTCTCCTGCCATTCCAGCCAACATCCTCTTCCTCAGAAGCCAAGTTGCCTGTGACCAGCACCTGACCACATATACAGGAGTGAATTCAGCCAGGACTGGGGGAATCTCCCCACTGACACCAGACTAAATTTCTTAGCCACGGATTTATGAGCTAAATAAATAGTTGCTGTTTTAATTCACTAAGTTTTAGATCAGCTTATTAGCCAGCAAAAGATAATTGATAACCTTTAGGAGGGAAAATAATCTCAAACTCTTTATCACGATATACAGCACTCTTCATGAGCTGAGTCCTATTTATTTCTGTCGCCTACAACTTCATTTCTTAGTTCCTAACACTGTATGTTCCATCATACTTACGTTTCAGTCCAGTCGTGCATACGTATGTTTCCCCAAATTCCATGCTCTCTCATATCTCTAGGTCATTCTTGGTACGCACAGCTCTAGATGTCACCTCCTCCGGGAAGCCTACCTCAGCCTTGTGCACTTATACTTCTTAGCTGTACAACACTTAACCATACAATGTTATAACCACTGGTCCCACTGGTTCATTTGACCATTCTCTAAATTTCTTGAGACAAAGAACTGTGGCTTTCTTGACTCTCTATCTGGCACAGTGCCTGACATCCAGTAGACGGACAATGAAATGACCAAAGGAATGAATAAAGAATCTACCGACATTATACTGGTTTTTATGCCTTTTACAAATTTGGGGCCAGGCGTGGTGGCTCACACCTCGAATCCCAGCACTTTAAGAGGCTGAGGCAGGCAGATTGCTTGAACCTAGGAGTTCAGTACAAGCCCGGGAAACATGAGAAAATCCTGTCTCTACTAAAAATACCAAAAAAAACTAGCTGGGCATGGTGATGGAACACCTGTAATGCCAGCTACTTGGGAGGCTGGGGTGAGAGGATCACTTGAACTCGGGAGGTGGAGGTTTCAGTGAGCCAAGATTGCACCACTGGGCCCAGCCTGGCTGACAGAGCAGGGGGGGAAACATCCAACAAATGCTGAAAGCTGAAGATATGCAGCAATTCACCTAATTTGCTAAATTGGCTTTTAGATCCCACACAGTCTTGAGCAGAACAGAAATAATTAGAGTAAAAGTCAGTGAAGAACTCTTCCTGAAATATTTATTCCCATCTCCTTCTTGTCTACCTGGTGATCCCAAAACATAAGCATGCATTCAGATAAGAGTGGCCTGATAAATGCTACCAAGGAAATACAGATTAGTCCTCACATAGTGTCTAGTATAGAGATGATGCCACATAGATTTCACTCTACAACACAAATACATACACCCACATTAATGCTTCAGTTTCTCTAATGATGATGGATTCCAATATTTTTACAGGACAGTAACTAAATCTAGAGCAAAATGTACAATGGACTTCCAAGAATTATGTCTCCCCAGAGAAAATTTCATTTCAGATTTCTGAATAAACTCATTTTCAAATGTCAACTTTTAAAGGATACCCTCTCTTCATGTGCAGCAGATATTGTTTATGGTTCAGCTGGCATACTTACTGACAAAAGCAATAAAGAACGAGATTGCCATTAGCAGGAAAAACATCAGCAGTGAGGCACAGAGCAGCTTGGGAAACCCAGTACTACTCTTGTGAGGAGCAGTCCTTGCCTTGGAAGCTGAAGAAGAAGCCAAATTAGTTTTATCAGTAATAAATTCTGTCCTTACTTCCTCTTCTTCCTCCTCCTCTTTCTCTCCCTTTTCTTGGATGACACACAGTTACTAATGGTATGACATGAAATCATATGAGAATAGGAATAGAAAGGATATAATCATATTCATTGTAGAAACTTTAGAAAATACATAAAAGTACAAATTCCTACAATTGAGGATAACTGTTATGCCATATAAGTTATAATATATCATATTTTGGTATATTTCTAGTAAATTTTTGAATGTGTATATACATATATGCAAATTTGCCCACATCACTGACGTACCATAAATACTGATTTCTGATCTGTTATTTTCCTTGACTCTGTATCGTGAACATTTTTCATACCATTATATTTTCTTCTTTAACACTCCTTATTATGGTTGCATAGTATTTCATCGTTTATTTAAATAATAGGTTGTTTCCAACCTTAAATAATCCTATAGCAAATCTTTATAATCATCCTTCATCACATCTTTAGAATAAGGTTAGTCTTTTTAGTTACCATTTCATGGTTAGGTATCACTTTCTTAAAGTTATGATATTTTGTCAAACGATGGGGTGAAAAACTTCAGTATTATATAATATGATTACATTTTTAGTAAAATATATATGCACATTATATGTATTTGTATGTGGAAGGATATTCACTAAAATGCAAATTATGATTTTCTCTAGATGATAAGAGAATTGTAATTCAAATGTCTGTGTACCGCTAGTTAATTTTTTCATAATGAACATTAATACTTATATAATAAAGAAATTATATAAAGTTTTTAAGGGGGGAAAAAGATTCCCAACGTGCTCTCCACAGCTTCACAGAGGTATTTTAGAAAGCACAAATATAGTCCTTCCCTCATAGTTTCTTACTCTGTATACATTCTTTTCTCTCTTTTGCTCTATACTTGAGATATTACACATGACACCCAAATTACCTTGCGTCTACTCCCAAATGTAAAAGAGTCTGTCTCAGAGATGCAACATAAAATAGATTTTCTGATTTCAGAAAAAGTTTCCTGGAGCTTTAACTGACTTCCTTTGTGTAGACTTTCTAGTCTTTCATTTGCAAAGGCCTTTTGTTTCATTTTCATCCAATACTAACAAATATACCCTCACCACTGTCCACCCAAACTCTTTCCTTCTAACTGATCAAAAACCAAATCTCACCAATTCATCAGGACCCCCTGCATCTGGGTTGATAGTTTCAGAAGCTGTACTCAATCTCTTAACCCCAGCCCCACTCAGCCTCAGAAAACACAGGTGCATCAGAGCACTCCTTAGCTCAGAACTGGAGTTAATTTCTCTCACCTCTGTCTCTTATAGGAAGCAGAGTGGAGGCTAAAGAGGGTGGCAGAAAAATCTTTTCTTCCCCACAATACAAATATACACCCTGTAATGTGTATCTGTAGGCTACTTGATCTTCTGGGACTCTTGTGTTTCCCAGACATAATCAGAGAACCAGCAACTGACAACACCTATGCCTTATTCATAAACCCTCTCCTCATCCTTCATCTCATCATTCATTCTGACCCCCAGAAAATGATCTTTACCTGCAGAAGAGTCGATGCCTGAGGACTTGGATGCATCGTTGAACCTCACTTCAGCATAAGTGATTTCCGAAATCATATTGCGAAGAGGCCTGCTTTCTTCAGAAAATGTATTTCAATCTTTCTTAAAACATCTTATAAATGAGAACCAAACATGGTAGTAAGTTATCTACTTCCTTTTATTCAACTAGATGAGAGCAGAGGCACCAGATAGGCACATATCCTCAAGAGGGCTCTCATGAGAACTAAAACTCACAGTAAAAACTGAAAACCTCAGTCCACAGAAGAGCCTTTCCTCAGGACCAGTAGAGTGAGAATCACAGCCTTTAAACAACTGCAAGCAAATGTAATTAAAGTGGGAACCCAAAAGGTTGCGGAAAGAAATAGGAAGGAAAAAGAAGAGGAACCAAGCAATTAGAGAAGTCTTTCTTGAGAATCATGTTCCTCACTGGTAAAAAAAAAAAAAAAAAAAAAAATACAATTTGTGTGTTTCCACATACAAATGTAACTACTTTTGACAAAAAAAAAACCTGAACAAAGACTTGCTTATGTTGCGTTCCTCTCATCATTTTTGGCTGATCAGGCAACTTTTGCTTGCAGTTGTTTAAAGGCTGTGATTCTCACTCTACTGGTCCTGAGGAAAGGCTCTTCTGTGGACTGAGGTTTTCAGTGTTTACTGTGAGTTTTAGTTCTCATGAGAGCCCTCTGGAGGATATGTGCCTATCTGGTGCCTCTGCACTCATCTAGTTGAATAAAAGGAAGTAGATAACATGTTTGGTACCACATTCTAAGAGTATAATTGACACAAAACTCAGCATCAACCTCCCCACCTGGAAGAGTCAGTTTCCTCTTGCATGGTGGGGAAGGCAAAGTTTAAACCCCACACCTTCTGAAGCTACTCCTCCATACTCTCTGTGTTTCCTTATTGGTAACTAACTCTCTCAAGGGTCTGCATTCATCTTGCTAGAACCTCCAGAACTCCAGAAAGCAGCCCCCTTTATTGGATGTTGGAAGAGAGGGAAGGCCAGCCTTTATTCCCTGCTTCCCTAACCTTTTAATCCCACACCACCTCCAATATATATGACTATTTTTCGACAGTTAGGATAAGTAACTAGAATCACATTACAGAAGGGGATAAACTTAAAGCACTAAATATGAGTTTTTCCAAAGGCCTAAAGGAAAACACTCCAAATATTAAATCCTTCACGTGGAATCGCTCCATAGATATGCTCTCCACTCACACCTGGATTCTCTGCCCTCAACTCTCCACAAATGATCCTCCTTTTAATCTTTCCCAGCTAATTCCTTCTCCTGCATAACACACATGCACACATGCATGCACACACACAAACACACACCTCTATATTTCTGTATTATTTTTATATCTAAATACGTTGAACACCATGAGTGCACATTAATTCCTCTAATTCCAATCTAACACCACAGGGTTCATTCTAATTTTCTCCGTTTCCACATTCCTAACTCCTTTCTGTGGCAGTAAGAAACCTGCTTTCATTGCCTTTCACCTACTCCTTATTTGATCAATCTCCTGGATGCTGTCAGTCTCCACCTGCTAACATGCTCCTCTCTTCCTAGTTGAGCTCTGACTCCCCATTCCAAGCTGCCACTCCCTGCACTCATGCCCCCCTCCTCACTCTGTTTGAGGGTGCTGGCAAAGGGTCAGCCCACTCCCCACCCCCATGAACATTCCCCCACAAGCATCCCTCTCACCCTGCCAAGGTTCTGACTCCCAGTGCTAGACCACTCCTCTGCAGGAAAGCCCTCCTCACTCTGCTTACACTCTGATTCCTGATGCTGGTCCCCTAGTCACCACTTAGACCCCCTTAGGCTCTAACACTCCACACAAGGTCACCCCCATGGGTGGAAGCCCCCTCACCCTGGAGGGGTCTGACTTCCTCATTGGGCTGTGCTACCACATGGACCACTCCTTATCCTGCCAAGTTTCTGAAATCCACACCAAAGCTACCCTCTGCATAGATGCTTTCTTCAACCTGCTTAAGCTCTGACACTCCATGAAGGTCCTCCATCCCCCAGCAATAATTCCCATCTCACCCTGCTTAGGATGTGAGTTCCCTAAGCAGATTGGCTACCCCACACATTGACACCCTCCTTATCATGCTTGGTCTCTGAAACCCACCCCAGGTCTACCCTCAGCAAGGAAGCGCTCCCTCTTCATCCTGCTTAAGTGCTGAGTCCCAACCCCCACTGGGCCAACACTAAGTTTGAGCGTCCTCCTCACCCATCCCACATGCTGACGTCCATACCAGCCCCCCCCAGAGTACTCTGCTCACCCATTTGCGACTCTGACTCCCTACAGAAGGTCACCTCATGCATGGATGCCCTCCTCACCCTGCTTGTGCTCCAACTCACTGCACCTGACTATCCCACCACATGGATGCCTTCTTTACCTCTCAGGCTCTGACCTCTCATATCAGGCTTCCCTACTGTAGATACCCTCATCAATCCTCTTATCCTCTGATACCCTGCACCAGGCCGTTGCCAGGAGTGGACATCTGCTTGTCCTGCACAGGCTCTGGTTCTCCATGCCAGAACACTTTCCCACCTCCACAGGGATCTTCTCACTCTGCTTGGGCTCCAGCACCACCATCAAGCCAACAGCCTGCATCGTCACCCTTCTCACCCTGCTAAAGCTCTCACCCTGTGCCAGACCACTGCTGTTCTCCCAGCCACCCCACCATAGACACCTACCTTGTTCTGCCTAAACTGCTACTGCTTTATTTAGAATCAAATTATTTAATAGGGAAAGGGGAATCACAAAGCATAAGGGAAGGATAAGGGAATTTTAAGTTCCCCACAATTAATGATTGGACCTAACTCGCACTGGCACATAGACAGGTATACACACATAGTCCCTGAAATAATGATCATTGATTCTCAGAGGCTTTATGATCTAAGCTCATAATTAGAAAGCAAAACATATTCCTAAAATTATAGCTCTCTCCCTGGAATAAGTTACATTATAACTGGATTACACTGTATCACCAACAATCCCAAAATCCAAGTGGCTTACAACAAACAGGTATTTCTCACTCACATTACACATGAACTTAGGGTCAGCTTGGAGTTGACTGCAACTCTGCTTGGTTCCTCTCCAAGTGTTTTCTCATTCTTGGAGCTGATATTACAGAATAGCTCCTCATAAGCTGAACCATGTGGTAGCTAGCATCCTTTATTCAGATAACGTGTACATTGTATTCACTGCGATTCTGTTGGCCAGTGCAAGTTACCTGGACAAACCTGTGAGACAGGGAAATGTACTTTGCCTACAGAAAGACATGTCAAGGGTATCAAAGTTTAATCCTTTCACAAACGAGAACATAAACACTTGGAAACAATAATAGAATCTACCCCCTTACTCCTTTAAATTATTTAACCAAGAGATCTCTTGGACAGTGATCTCCAAAATGGGGCACAAGTACCTTAGGCAGTATAAAAGAGGATCTGCTAAGGCACAGAGATAAAACAGTAAAACATCTGTTATTATGTATTTAAAATTTCAAGGAAGATATGCTTTACTATTACTGATTGCATGCTGTAATCCCAGCAATTCGGGAGGCCAAGGTGAGTGAATCACCTGAGGTCAGGAGTTCAAAACCAGCCTGGCCAACATGACGAAACCCTGTCTCTACTAAAAATACAAAAATTAGCCAAGTGTGGAGGTGGGTGCCTATAATCCCAGCTACCTGGGAGACTGAGGGAGGAAAATCTCTTGAACCAGGGAGACAGAGGTTGCAGTGAGCCAAGATCATGCCACTGCACTCCAGCCTAGGCAACAGAGCAAGACTCCACACCGCCCTCCCCCCCACAAAAAAAAAGCCCAAACAACCCCAAGGGAAAGAATTTAAGAACTGCAGAGTAGAATAGTTGCTTCTTATGGCACTAGATAATCCAAAGGAAGAGAATAACAAATTCAAAGGGTCCTACATTCTTTTTTTTTTTGAGACGGAGTTTCCCTCTTATATTACCCAGGCTAGAGTGCAATGGCGTGATCTCGGCTCACCGCAACCTCTGCCTTCTGGGTTCAAGCAATTCTCCTACCTCAGCCTCCCGAGAAGCTGAGACTACAGGCACGCGCCACCATGCCCAGCTAATTTTTGTACTTTTAATAGAGACAGGGTTTCACCATGTTGACCAGGATGGTCTCGATCTCTTGACCTCGTGATCCACCCGCCTCGGCCTCCCAAAGTGCTGGGATTATAGGCGTGAGCCACCGTGCTCGACCTCTAAATTTTTAACCCAAGGTAAAAACTGAAAACTAGAAGTTCTATAACTATATTAAAAAGAATTCTTTATTGCTCGTAGCTACAGGCTGAAAAGGCCAAAAAACAAAGTTTTAGTTGGAATCTACAGTTAAAAATTGCAAATTCAGTTGAATTCAAGCTTTGCTATGTCTCTTAAGTGAAAACTAGAGGCCTAATTGTGATAAAACATGATCTCAAAAACTGATAAAGAAATATATGGAGAATACCCATATATTTCCCAAAGCATCACAGACACTCCAAGTCCACGAAGTTTCCTATCCCCACAAAAGCAGCAGATATACTGAGAGCCTGAAGTCACCCTCCAGTTATTTCCCAAATTGCTGTTGTCCAGAATCCCACTGTCTCCCTGACCTGTGAAATAAGGTCCATTGTGATCAAAAGCCAAACTGAAGCTCCTGAACTTCACCTTCCTAGCAAAATAAAATCAAAAGCAGTAAAGCATCTATAATGAAATCACAAAAAGTAGTACCACTAGCAAAGGATTCAAAACTGAAGCATAAGCAATTCCTATTATATTCTTGATTTAATTCACTCATCTTGCCAATACAGATGGGTCATAAAGAACGGATGGGAGTAGATGGTCACAAATTTAATCAGAGGGTGACTCCAATTTTAGCTGCTTTCCAAATTGACTTGCTCTGGTCAATACAGCACTTGGCCCGTAATATATACCTATTAATGGCCAGGTACGGTGGCCATTGCTCCCTGAGGACTCAGAAAAGGCAAATGCAAAACCACTCCAAAGAAATACTTCCACAACCCAGGACTGCCCATGAGGAAAATACACACTAAAGACAAACTCACAACTAAAACTTAAACACGTGACAACACATGAGAAAAAAAAAAAAGACAGTAAATAAATATGTAAAAAGAGTACAATCTCACTGTAGTGAGAAAAATGCATATGTTTTCGCCCAATATATTAACTAAATATAAAAATATTTTTAAATAATATGTTGACAAAGTAAATAGAGAAGCAAACGGTCTCAGGATTTATATTAAGTATATATGTTAGGCAGAAGATAATATAGCAACAAACCTATCAAAATTTTAAATGTTGGGAGAGGGAGGAAGGGAGACAAGGGTTGAAAAACTGTTGGATGCTATGCTCAATACCTGAGTGATGGGATCAGTCACATCCCAAATTTCAGCACCACACAACATACCCACATAACTAACCTGCACATTTACCCCCGGGTCTAAAAAAAAAAGTTGAAATTATTTTTTTTTTATTTTAATTAATCACATTTCACCCACAAGTCCATTTCTGGGGAATCTGTCCTTTAAATTTTTCATTTAAGTATATATTATATGTAAAAGATGTTCAGTATAAAATTTAGTGTGAAAAATGTGGGAAATGTTACTATCAATGAGGACAGAGGCTAAATACATTATGGTACATCCATACATTAGAGAGCCTTAATAGTGCTAAGCACAAACTAAACACAAGCAAAGACAAATGCATGGGCAAAGAAAGAACTTCAAAACATTATTAATTTTTTAAATAATAATATAAATAATTTACATGTAATTTTTATTTTATTAAAGGATCTTTGCATAGGCAGATAAATACAGAAAGAGAATGCTTTAAAAGATGTCTAGAAGGCCAGGGCAGTGGCTCACCCCTGAAATCCCAGCACTTTGGGAGGCCAAGGCAGGTGGATCACCTGAGGTCAGGAGTTCAAGACCAGCCCGGCCAACATGGTGAAACCCCATCTCCACTAAAAATACAAAAATTAGCCGAGCATGGTGGCATGCACCTGTAGTCCAAGCTACTCGGGAGGCTGAGGTAGGAGAATTGCTTGAACTAGGAAGACAGAGGTTGCAGTGAGCCAAGATTGTGCCACTGCACTCCAGCTTGGGCAACAGAGCCGGACTCCATCTCAAAAAAAAAAAAAAGATGTCTAGAGAAACGCATACAAAATCATTGACAATAGTTGACTTTGCAGAAGGGACTGAGGAGAGAAAAGGGCAAGCAAGGGGGGTGCTCACACTGTTCTATATACTTTATCCTGTCTTTATCATGTGTCAAACATTGAATTCAAAGTCAGAGAACGGGGGAAGACAGGGACATGATTCCTACTTTAAAAATACATAAAGTTCAATACAGTGGGAGACGCATAAGACCCAGTTATACATTGTCCAGTGGTAGCACAAAGGAGAAAGAAGAGATAGTTTCTGCTTGAGTTTATGAGGAAAGGTTCTATAATGAATAGGAACTTAGGAGAAAAGTATTTGAGGCAGAAAGACCAGAGCATACAAAGGCACTGTACTATGAAATAGTGCAGCGCATAATTTAGATCAGTCTTGCTGGAATATTAATATGAATATGGAGATTTCCTTTTCATAAAATGAAGGTGCAGAGGTAGCTACAATCAATTCATTAACTATTAGCTTTGACACTAGCATATTATCACTTTAGGTACAGATTAGTACAGTCATTTAACCCCTCTATGCTTGATTCCTCATCTGTGAAATATGGATAACCATACTACCCATCCCAGAGAGTAAGAACTAAGAATTCTCGGCCGGGCATGGTGGCTCAAGCCTGTAATCCCAGCACTTTGGGAGGCTGAGGCGGGTGGATCACGAGCTCAAGATATCGAGACCATCCTGGTCAACATAGTGAAACCCCGTCTCTACTAAAAATACAAAAAATTAGCTGGGCATGGTGGCGCGTGCCTGTAATCCCAGCTACTCAGGAGGCTGAGGCAGGAGAATTGCCTGAACCCAGGAGGCGGAGGTTGCGGTGAGCCGAGATCGCGCCATTGCACTCCAGCCTGGGTAACAAGAGCGAAACTCCATCTCAAAAAAAAAGAAAAAAAAGAACTAAGAATTCTCAGAAGTGAAGGGGGGAGGGAAGTAAAAAAAATAAAAAAGACCTCTCAGAAGTAAGAATCCCAGGGTCGTGTGAAGATTGAATGAGACAATCCTTACAAAGCACTTAGCTAGTTCCAAGCAAATGATCAGTGCTCAAAAACTATAGGATAAGAAGGCAGTTGGTTGGGTTTCTGTGAAAAGGTATATAGTATAAAAGCTATAAAAGGGGTTGAGCAGGATCACAAATAAGGAGAATAAGGAGTTAAATCCTCACTCTAGAATCAGTCAGAAACATGTCTCCCTACCATTCCTTACTCCCCATTTCTCCTCTATCAGATGACTCTTCCTACTTCCTGCCCCAGTCTTAGGCATCTGCCTCACTTCTAAGACAATAAAAAAAGAACTCCTGTCATTTTGCTTTTATACCACCGCATTACACACCTGACAGCCAGAATTAGAAGCAGTACTAGTACCGGCAGCAGATATTTAAATGGAGCTGACCACATTCCAGACCCTGTTCTAGGCACTTTAATTACTTTATGTATTTATTTTTCAGTGACAGTAGCTCATTGTCACCCAGGCTGCAGTGCAGTGGCACCATCATAGTTCGCTGTAACCTCAAAATCTTCGGCTCAAGCGATCCTCCCACCGTTAGGCTCCTAAAGCACTGGGATTACAGGAGTGAGCCACCATGCCCAGCTAAGCAATTTAATTTTTAAATTTATTTTACAGTCACAATATTCCATAGGTACTATTCTCATTTTGTATATGAGGAAACTGAGGCAAACAAAGTTCAATTAATTTTTCCATGGTCAAAAAGCCAGTAAGTGACAGAGACAAATTTTGTATCACAGTAGTCTGTCTTCTCCCAAATCCATGCTCCTGACCACAACTCTTTACTGCCCATTCATCCTCTATGATGGGTGGAGATGGGAGGGGGGGTGTCATTAAAATTAAGTATATTCCCTATTCAAATATTTATTGAAGTATTAAAGATCATTCAGTACTTCATTTTCTGACTGCCCAAAACAGCTATTTTTCTACATTTTCAACAAACTTTAGATCAATTACAGGCTTAGACTCCATAGATTAAATGACCCAGATAGTCTTCATCTCTTTCTTTTTAAATGCTTCCCCTGTTCCTGTCCCATCTTAGATTGTTGAAAAAATAATTAAAAAAATAGGCCGGGCGCGGTGGCTCACACCTGTAATCCCAGCACTTTGGGAGGCCGAGGCGTGTGGATCACGAGGTTAAGAGATTGAGACCATCCTGGTCAATATGATGAAATCCCGTCTCTACTAAAAATACAAAAAATTAGCTGGGCACAGTGGCGGGTGCCTGTAATCCCAGCTACTCAGGAGGCTGAGGCAGGAGAATTGCCTGAACCCAGGAGGCGGAGGTTGCCGTGAGCCGAGATCGCGCCATTGCACTCCAGTGTGAGTAACAAGAGCGAAACTCCGTCTCAAATAATAATAACAATAATAAATTAATAAATAAGTAAATAAAAATGCTTCCCCTGCCACCAGGAGGCTGAGCAAATTCCTACAACTGTTTCAGTTGCAAGGAGGAGCATGCCCTCTAGTGGTCGCATGCCAATATGCAGCCAGATGCAGCACCCACACAAAATGCTTCAATGACATTTTTTCCCAATAATAGGTATGTTGGCAGAATACACATAATAGAAACAAAGAAAATGTTGAAAAACAAACCAAAGAATCCATAGTCAGTCTTAATGAATTATTTTAATTGAGGGGATGATGTTATCCTTTGACAGGTTAGAGCATGAAGTCACAATGGGCAATCATTTTACTACTGGCTCAGATGCAGGCAATTTAAGTATATCAGTGCTTTTTTGAAAACATACCAGCCTGTATCGTATGTCTTTGAAAAGAAAACTAAATACAGTGGGCATGGTGGCTCATGCCTGTAATCCCAGCACTTTGGGAGGCTGAGGTGGGCGGATCACGAGGTCAGGAGTTTGAGACCAGCCTGGCCAATAATGGTGAAACCTTGCCTCTACTAAAAATACACAAATTAGCCAGGTGTGGTGGCATGCACCTGTACTCCCAGCTACTCGGGAGGCTGAGGCAGAAGAATTACTTGAACTCGAGACCAAGGTTGCAGTGAGCCGAGATTGGGTCACTGCACTCCAGTCTGGGTGACAGAGAGAGACTCCTAGCAAAATTTTGAAATAAATGTCAAACAATAAAAATGCTGTTAAAACATCACAAGCCTATACAAACCCAGGCTAAGGACCCACAAGTAAATAAAATTCTCCCTCTTTCCTTCCTTTGAATATGATTGATGGAGAATATGTGATTGATGGAGAACTCCTGAACATGAGTCCTATAGTCACATATATATTTTCTTCATGTACAATTGAGAGGCAATAAAAGAAATGGTTTTTGTAAAGTCTACAAAAAAAACAAATCATGGGCAAAGTGCAATGCAACCTTAGCCACTTATAATTAAAATGAGACAAATGTATTAAAATGAGACAAATGACCAAATGTATCATCAACTCTACTACATGATACCTAGTGTTCCTTCTCCGGGCCAAAAAGTCTATGTGCCAAAGTATAATCTGTCTTCATTACTACTTACTTGGCTGTCTCATACTTACTGGCTCTGAAGCACAAAAATGAGATTTTCTCCACTCAAAACCATACAATTAAACAGAAATTAACCTGCTCCTGAGTGACTTTTCGGTAAACAATAAAATTAAGGTGGAAATCAAGAAATTCTTTGAAACTAATGAGAACAAATACACAATATACCAGAATCTCCGGGACACAGCTAAAGCAGTGGTTAACAGGAAAATTTATAGTGCTAAATGCCCACATCAAAAAGTTAGAAATATCTCAAATTAACAACCTAACACCACACCTAGAGGAACTAAAGACAAGAGCAAACCAACCCCAAAGCTAGCAGAAAGCAAGAAATAACCAAAACCAGAGCTGAACTGAAGAAACTGAGAAACAAAAACCCACACAAAAGATCAAGAAATCCCAGACTTTGTTTTTTTAAAGAACAAATAAGAGATAGACCACTAGCTAGACTAATAAAGGAGGGAAAAAACCCAGAAGATCCATATAAATACAATCAGAATGACAAAAGGGGCATTACCATTGGTCCCACAGAAATGCCAAAAACCCTCAGAGACTATTATGAACACCTCTATGCACACAAACTAGAAAACCTACAGGAAATGGATAAATTTTTGAAAACATGCAACCTCCCAAGATTGACCCAGGAAGAAACTGAACCTCTGAAGAGACCAATAACAAGTTCTGAAACTGAATCAGTAATAAAAATCCTACCAACCAGAAAGGGCCGAGGACCAGACGGATTCACAGCCAAATTCTACCAGATGTATAAAAAAGGAGTTTCTGCTGAACTATTCCTACTGTTCCAAAAAGTCTAGGAGGAAGGACCCACCACTAACTCATTCTAGGAAGCCAGTATCATCCTGATTCCAAAACCTGGCAGAGACTGAAAAAAAAAAAGCGGGGGAAGCCAGGACGATATCCTTGATGAACATAGGTGCAAAAGTCCTCAACAAAATACAAGCAAACCAAATCCAGTAGCACAACAAAAAAGTTAATCCACCATTATCAAGTAGGTTTTATCTCTGAGACGCAAGGTTGGCTCTACATACACAAATCCATAAATGTGATTCACCACATAGAGAGAACTAAAAGCAGAAGCCACATCATCATCTAAATAGATACAAAAAAAAAGGCTTTTGATAAAATTCAACATCCCTTCATTTTAAAAACCCTCAACACACTAGGCATTGAAGGAATATACCACAAAATAATAAGAGCCATCTATGACAGACCCACAGGCAACATCACACTGAATGGGCAAAAGTTGCAAGCATTCTCCTTAAGAACTGGAACAAGACACGGATGCCTACTCTCACCATTCCTATTCAACTTAGTACTGGAAGTCCTAAGCAGGACCATCAGGCAAGAAAAAGAAATAAAAGTTATCCAAATAGTAAGAGAGCAAATCAAATCATTTGTTTCTTTAGCTAGAAAACCCCATAGTCTGCCCAAAAGCTCCTAGATCTGATAAGCAACTTCAGTAAAGTTTCAGGATAGAAAGTCAATGTACAATAATCCAACATCCATCCAAGTTGACAATCAAATCAAGAACATAATTCCAATCACAATAGCCACAAAAATAAAATAAAACAAAATAAAATACATAAGAACACAGCTAACCAGGGAGGTGAAAGATCTCTACAACAAGAATTACAAAACACTGCTCAAAGAAATCAGAGATGACACAAACAAATGGAAAAATATTCCATGTTCATGGATAGAAATAATCAATGTTGTTAAAATGGCCATACTGCCCAAAGCAATTTACAGATTTGATGCTATTCCTATCAAACTACCAATGATATTCTTCACAGAATTTTTTAAAAACTATTCTAAAATTCATATGGAACCAGAAAAAGAGCTCAAATAGCCAGGACAATCCTAAGAAAAAGAACAAAGCTGGAGGCATCCTGTTATCTGACTTCGAACTATACTACAGGGCTACAGAAACCAAAACAGAATGGTACTGGGACAAAAACAGACATATAGACCAATGGGACAGAATAGAGAGTCCAGAAATAAAGCCGCACACCTCCAACCATCTTATCTCTGAAAAAGTTGACAAGAACAAGCAACGGAGAAAGGACTCCCTATTCAATAAATGGTGCTAGAATAACTGGCTAGCCATATGGAGAAGATTGAAACTGGACCCCTTCCTTATAACGCATACAAAAATCAACCCTGTAATAAAGACTTAAATGTAAAATATAAAACTATAAAAACCCTGAAAGATAACCTAGGAAATATCATTCTGGACACAGGAATGGGCAAAGATTTCATAAAGATTATGCCAAAACTGCAACAAAAACAAAAATTGACAAATGAAACCTGATTAAACTAAAGAGCTTCTGCACAGCAAAATAAACTATTCATAGAGTAAACAGACAACCAACAGAATGGGAAAATATAGTTGTAAACTATGCATTTGACAAAGGTCTAATATCCAGGCTCTATAAGAACTTAAGCAAATTACCAAGTAAAAAACAAACAACCCCATTAAAAAGTGGGCAAAGGACAAGAACAGACACTTTTCAAAGAAGACATGTGGCCAAAAAGCATATAAAAAATTGCTTAACATCACTAACCATTAGAGAAACACAAATCAACTGGACTAGTACAACTTGAAAAAAAAAAAGAGAGAGAGAAAGAAACACAAATCAAAACCACAGTAAGATACCATCTCACACCAGTCAGAATGGCTACTATGAAAAAGTCAAAATAACAGCTGTTGATGAGGCTGCAGAAAAAGGGAACACGTACACACTGCTGGTAGAAACAAATTAGTTCAGCCATTGTAGAAAGTAGTATGGTGATTTCTCAAAGAACTTAGAACTACCATTCAACCCAGCAATCCTGTTATCGGGTATATACCCAAAGGAATATAAACCATTCTATCACAAAGACACATGCATGCCATGTACATATGTTCACTGCAGCACTATTCACAGTAGAAAAGTCATGGAATCACCCTAAATGCCCATCAATGATAAACTAGATAAAGAAAATGTGGTGTATACATATACTGTGGAATACTATACAGCCATAAAAAAGAACATATCCCTGGCAGCAACCAAGATAGAGCTGCAGGAATAGAAAACCAAATACCACATGTTCTCACTTATGAATGAGATCTAAACCTTGAGTACATATGGACACAAAGAAGGGACCAACAGATACTGGGTCCCTGAGCAGGGAGGGTGGAGGAGGGAGAGGATTGAAAAACAACCTATCAGGTATTATGCTTATTACCTAAGCGACAAAATAATCTGTGCATCCAACCCCCATGACATGCAATTTACCTATATAATAAACCTGCATATGTACCTATGAACCTAAAATAGAATTATTTTTAAAAAGAAAGAAAAGGTTGGCCAGGCACAGTGGCTCAAGCCTGTAATCCCAGCACTTTGGGAGGCCGAGGGAGGCAGGTCACGAGGTCAGGAGATTGAGACCATACTAACTAACATGGTGAAACCCCATCTCTTCTAAAAATACAAAAAATTAGCTGGGCCTGGTGGCACATGACTGTAATCCCAGCTACTCAGGAGGCTGAGACAGGACAATTGCACGAACCCAGGAGGCGGAGGTTGCAGCGAGCCAAGATTGCACCACTGCACTCCATCCTGGGCAACAGGGCGAGACTCCATCTCAAAAAAAAAAAAAAAAAAAAAAAAAGGTGCAGGGAAACACCAAAAATATGGTGGAGAAGGCAGGGATGGTTTGATTGTTTCTTGAAGAAAATCAATTGGCCTGAATTAGGATTCATGGAGAAGCACAGCGACACCCAATTGGCTTGATTTATAATTATGACCAGAGAAAGAGAAACCAATTCATTTGCAAGGCTTAAAGTACCAGAGGAAAAATGGGGGAAATGCATTGGAGTGACAAAAGGAAAATGTAATTCAATTTAATCTGGGTGACTTACAATTCAATGTAAGACCAAGCATTTGTCACAACTGGTGTATCTCATCTAGAAAACATTTAAGGTAACAGACTGGCCTTACTAAAATATACTGACCTAAAAAAAAAAAAAAGAAATGAGATTTTCTGCAACTATGACAAAGCATATAAAGAATATTTAAGTCCTGTAACTAGGAGCAACCCAAATAAAAATGAGTAAAAGACAGAAAACACTCAACTTACTGACTTCCAGACCCTCCTCGCTGAAATCACTGTTAATTCCACAGGTACTCAATGAGCGTCTACTATCTAAAAAGGTGTATGGGAAGTACTACGAGTACATATAAATGAAGACATGGTCTTTATATTCAAAGAGCTTAAAACAAGTGAGAAAAAGAATTTCAACAGCAACACTCTCACCCCTTTGCCCCCCAAACAAACAGATCACCTTTCAGATTGGAAGGATAGGCAAATATTTCATGAATTCGTATTTGGGCTAGCTTTACACAACAGGAAGGGATAAAAGGGAAGGTATTCTAGGCAGAGGGAATTCTAATTTAGCAAGCATTCAGTACTTGTGGCATATGAAAAATGACTACTGGTGCTTACATTCATTAAAGCATATCGTTAGTCAATGGGAAAACTGAGTTGAAGATGAAATGATATTTTGGACTTTATTCTATAAGCAAAGAAGGATTAATAAAGGCAATTAATAGGAGAGTAAAAAAAAAAACATGAGCAGAGCTTTGTTTCACAAAGATTATTCTGGGGGCGACATGTAAGCTGAATCAGAACTAAAAAAGCCATTGGCAAGCAGACTGCCTACGAGGGTATCAGAATGGAGGAAGTGAGGCATAATACAGGCTCACATTATAACAAGACCAGTCGTATCAAGTATAATTAAGGGGAGTTGAGCGAGAAAAGTGATAGTCCACATTTTTTTCCCCAACAAAAACCTAAGGTCTAAGATACACCTCTACCAATAGCAGTGCGTCCGAATCTCAGTAATGATAGGAAAGGACACAGTTCAGAAGTTACCTAAGCCCTACTACAAGAAGGCAAAAGCAGGAGGTAATCAGAATCTCTAAAGAAAGCCATACGTGTCACTTTTGACATATACATATATTTTCTCCAGCTTTTTTGGGGTATGATTGACAAATACAAATTGTATACATTTAGAATATACAATGTAATATTTTAATATATGTATACATTGTGAAATGATTACCACAACTAGGCTAATAAATGTATCCATCACCTCACATAGTAACTTGTATGTGTATGTGCTGAGAACACTTGAGATCTACTCTTAGCAAATTTCAGGTATATATTAACTACAGTTACCATGCTATACATTAGGTCTCAGTGCTTATTAATCTTACAGCTGAAGGTTTGTACCCTTTGACCACTATCTCCCTTCTTCCCCCACCTCCTGGTCCTGGGTAACCATGATTCTACTCTGTTTCTATGCATTTGACTTTTTTTAGATTCCACTTGTGAGGTCATGCATTATTTATCTATGTCTGGCTTATTTCATTTAGTGTCTTCTGCAAACAAAAATAATTTTATTTCTTCCTTTCTGGTATGAATGCCTCTTATTTCTTTTTCTTGTCTAATTGTTCTAGCTAAGTCTTCCAGTACTATGTTGAATAGAAGTAGTGAGTGGGCATCCTTCTTTTCTTCCTAGAGGAAAAGCTTTCCGTTTTTCACCATGGAAGATAATGTTAGTTCTGGGCTTGTGATATATGGCCTTTATTTTGTTGAAGTAAGTTCCTTTTACATCTAATTTTAGGGTACTTATCATAAAGGAATATTGAATTTAGTTAAATGTTTTTTCTGCATATATCGAGATGACATGGCTTTTGTCCTTCATTCTGTTAAGGCAGTTTATCGTATTTATTGATTTGTGTGTGTTGAACCATCCTTGCATCCAAGGGATAAGTCCCACTTGAACATGGTGTATAATCTTTTAATAGGCTGTCAAATTCAGTTGGCTAGTATTTTCAGTTGGCTAGATTTTGCATCTTTGTTTACAATCAGGGACAGTTGGATGTAATTTTCTTTTCTTGTCATGTCCTCACCTGGTTTTGGTATCAGGGTAATGCTGATCCTGTAAAATGAGTTTGAAATTATTCCCTCCTCTTCAATTTTTTGGAAGAGTTTGAGAAAGATTGATATCAATTCTTCTATTTATGTAGGAGAAAAGGCATATCAATTGCATTTATTTCTGCTCTGGTCTTCGTTATTTCTTTCTGCTAACTTTGGGCTTTTGCTACTTCCTGTAGGTATAACATTAGGTGGTTTCTTTGAGATGTTTCTTTTTTCTTAATGTAGGTATTTAGCACTATACATGTCCCTTTAGATCTCCTTTTGCTGCAGTCCATAAATTTTGATATGCTGTGTTTCCACTTTGTCTCAATCTTTTTTGACTCTTTGACCCATCAGTTATTCAGGAAACTTTCTAATTTCCACATATTTGTGAATGTTCTGGTTTTCATCCTGTTCTTGATTTCTAATTCCACACTATTTTAGTCAAAAGATAGTCCGCATGATTTCAATCTTAAATTTGTTAAGACTTGTTTTGTGACCAAACACATTTATACTGGAAAACATTCAATATGCACTTGAGAAGCATGTGTATTCTGCTACTGTTCGATAAATGTTATGTATATGTATGTCTCTTAGGCTTATTTTGTCTAAAGTGCAGTTCAAGTTCAATGTTTCCTCTTTGATTCTGTCTGACCTATCCAATGTTGAAAGTGGGGTATTCTATTGCTGTGTATTTCCCACTTCAAGTCTGTTAAGAGGGCTGTTCTGCCATTCTTTTGTTCCTTTACTTTCTTAATAAACTTGCTTTCACTTTTTAAAAAAATCTGTTATTTGCTTTATATATTTTGATGCATATATAATTGTTACACCATCTTGATGCATTTACCTCTTTGGGCCAGGCACAATGGCTCACGCCTGTAACCCCAGCACTTTGGGAGGCCAAGGTGGGTGGATCACTTGAGGTGAGGAGTTCAAGACCAGCCTGGTCAACATGGCAAACCCTATCTCTACTAAAAGTACAGAAATTACCCGGGCGTGATGACATGTGCCTGTAGTCCCAGCTTCAGCAGGCTAAAAGCAGGAGAATCACTTGAACCCAGGAGGCAGAGGTTGCAGTGAGCTGAAATTGTACCACTGCACTCCAGCCCAGGCAACAGAGGGAGAGTCCGTCTCAAAAAAAAAAAAAAAAAAAAAGAATTTACCTCATTGACATTTATGTAATGATCTTGTGTCTTGCTCTTGTTACAGCTTTTGACTTAAAGTCTATTTTGTCTGAAATACATACAGTATTCCCCCTTTATCCTCAAGGAATACATTCCAAGATTCCCCATGGATGCCTGAAAACACAGATGGTGCTGAAACCAATATACATTATGTATTTTCCTATATATACATACCTATGATAAAGCTTAATTTATAAATTAGGCACAGGAAGAGATTAACAGTAACTAATAATAAAATAAAATAATTAGAACAATATGCCAGAGTCACTACTCTTGTGCTCTGGGGCTACTAAGTAAATAAAATAAGGGTTACTTGAACTTGTACAAGCTTTGCAATACCACAACAATCTGATAACTGAGAAGACTACTAAGTGACAAATAGGTAGGTAAAGTACACAGCATAGATACATTGGACAAAGGGATGATTCACATCCAGGACAGGGCAAAGTGGAATGGTGTGAGACTTCACCACACTACTGATAATGGTGTGCCACTTTTAAACTTACGAATAATTTTCAAAGCATGGCTGACTGCAGGTAACTGAAAACTACCCCTGCTCTCTTTTGGTTTCCACTTGCATGAAATATCTTTCTCCATGTCTCACTTTCAGTCTGTATGTGTCCTTAAAGGTGAAGTGAAGCTTTTGTAGGCAGAATACAGTTGAGTGAGTCTTGCTTTTTTGATCCACTTAGCCACTCTGTGTTTTGATTGGAGAATGTAATCCATTTTGTATTCAAAATAATCATTAAAGGTAAGGACTTACTACTGCCATTTTTTAAATTGTTTTCTGGTTGCTTTGTGGCCCTTTGTTCCTTTCTTCCTCTCTTGCTCTCTTCCTTTGTTATTTGACTTTCTGTAGTCCTTTGATTATTTATCTTCTGTGTACCTACTATAGGTGTTCGTTTTGTGGTTACTATGAGGTTTATATAACACTTTTTAACAGTCTATTTTAAGCTGAACACTTAAATCGCATACAAAAACTCTTAACTTTCCCTCCCATATACATTTTTTTTTCTTATATTAGAGAAGGGGTCTCATTATGTTGGCCAGGTTGGTCTTGAACCTCTGGTCTCAAACAATCCTCCCACCTCAGCCTCCCAAAGTGCTAGGATTACAGAAGTGAGCCACCATACCCAGCTGCATTTTGTTTTTAATATCACTTTTTATCTTTTTATACTGTGTAGCCATTAACAAATGATTGTAGCTATGGTTTTATAAGTTTTTTGTTTTTTTTTTTGAGATGGAGCCTCACTGTCATCCAGGCTGGAGTGCAGTGGTGCAATGTCAGCTCTGTGCAACCTCTGCCTCCCAGGTTCAAATGATTCTCCTGCCTTAGCCTCCCAAATTACCTAGGATTACAGGCACCCACCACCATGCCCAGCTAATTTTTGTATTTGTAGTAGAGACAGGGTTTCACCATATCGGCCAGGCTGGTCTCAAACTCCTGACCTCCAGTGATCCACCCACCTCAGCCTCCCAAAGTACTGGGATTATAAAGTATGATCCACTGTGCCCAGGCTTGATTCCTGTTTTTTGTTTTTCATTTTTTTAGAGTTTATCACCCAGGCTAGAGTGCAGTGGTATAATCACAGCTCACTGCAGCCTCATCCTCCCAGGCTCAAGTGATCATTCTACCTCAACCTCCCAAGTAGCTAGGACTACAGACACATACTGCCATGCCCAGCTAATTTTTAAATTTTTTGTAGAGATGAGATCTCACTGTTGCCCAGGCTGGTCTTGAACTGGCTTCAACTAATCTGTCCTGCTTTAGCTTCTCAAAGTGCTGGAATTACAGGAGTAAACCACCACATCTACCTAATTTATCTCCTGTGACAATCACTGAACAAGAACTCTCAAGATCTTTTCTGGTTTCCAAAGGCTGTGACTCTGACTTCAGTTCCTTCTCTTATCCCTTTCATTTCTGCTGATTAGTTAAGATATGAGGTAGCCTAGATCATGAAGACAATTTATAGTGAATTAAATTAACTGTACCAGCAAATAATGAATATTAATTCATTGTACACAAACTACTCTGTTATTTTAGAACCACACACAGAAATCTAGTCTCTACTTCTTAAAAGCTTTTTTTTTTTTTTTTTTTTTTTTTTTGAAAGTCTCACTCTGCTGCCCAGGCTGGAGTGCAGTGGCTCCATCTTGGCTCACTGCAACCTCTGCCTTCTGGATTCAAGCAATTCTCCTGCTTCAGCCTCCCAAGTAGCTGGGATTATAGGCGCCCACGACCACACCAGGCTAATTTTTGTATTTTTAGTAGAGATGAGGTTTCACCATGTTGGCCAGGCTGGTCTCGAACTCCTGACCTCAGGTGATCTGCCCGCCTCAGCCTCCCAAAGTGCTGGGATAACAGGTGTGAGCCACTGTGCCCAGGCAACCTTTATTTCTTAATAAAAAGTGATATAAATATCTTTATTACCTACTGGTCCATTTATATTTGGTCAATTAAATGTAAAAGGTAATCAAATAAGCAAATTAAAAGATAAAAGAGACACTACCATTTTCATATTTTTAATTACCATTATTGCACCAATACAACATATGCTTTATATACATATATCTTAAACATTTTCCATTTTTCAGGAATTCAAATACATAATATATTATCATCTTGAGAATACAAAGAACACAACATGGAGGAAGATTGAGAAAATAGGTTCCCAGTATTTAGTCACTAGTGATTCAACAGACTTTCCTTTTAGTGTTTTCTATTGGAATTTTAATATGTCCTGCCATGGCTCTGCAAGAGTAGAGCTGCCTAGAAAAGGAGGCAATGAAAAGAAAATGGACCCAAAGTCAGAAAAAGTTCAGAAGGAAATCCAGGAAAGTAATATATTTTGAAACATAAGGACTCCCTTCTGCCAGAGTGTACATTTCCAGATAGGTGCAAAAGGAACGCAATTATATATTCCCATTTCATCCTCAAAATTGCTCATTTAGAAACAAAATAGAACGTACCCATTCATCTAAGAAGCAGAACTTTTTTCACAGCATTGTAAAAGGAATGGCAGGGCAGAGGGAAAGGAAAGTGGTGGGAGAACAATTTGCTTTTAAGATACCCTGGTGACAGGTATCAAAGCCTTGAGCAAAACCTGTCACAGTAAAGCTGTGACTCTCCGACTTCCTTCACAAATGACAATACACATAATAGCAGCTTTCTATTAAAGAACCACATGAACTGAAAGAAATGTTTATGGAAAGGGGTCAGATACCCAGGCAGCAAGGCAATGTGGGTACTAAATAAGAGTTAAGTGCTTTCGACCTCTCTGCTCTACAGATCAGGTTAAAAACTCTAAACCCTCCAACTTTAGATCAAATAACAGGGCAAACACAAATTAATGCCATGCTTCAAATGCAGCGACTAGATGAAGCTGCAAGAAATTAAACACTCCTATAGCATATCACTTGGAAAGCACAGCCTCTTGAACCTCCTTCATCACAGAGACACCCACTGGTCAAAGATGTTGCACAATTCAAATTCCACAAACAGAAAAGAATAGTGGAGGTGCCACCAACACAACCCTCTTATCATAGAAAGAGACATATAAACACACAAGAGGATGATGGAGCTGCACCCAGCACTGGATGTTCACTGAGTACGATAAGCCTGGAGGAGGCTACACAGCAGAGACCCAGGAAATAGGTCTTTCTCCATATCTACCACTATCAAAATTCTGAATTTGTAAACACTGAGGTCAGCCTGTCTATTTTTAGTCCTGGGTTAGTGGAGAAGGAAGTTGCAAGGTTTTTGACTCCCCTGAAATTGCTAAATAGGGCTTCACAAAGAGGCACACAAGGGTCATGAGATGATTTTGAAATAAGTTAAAGAATTTAAAAGATGAGACAAATTTTACAGATGCTAGAGGTCACCCCCGCTCAAACAGACACAGGTCTTTTGAGCCCTGCATAGTCAGCCAAAACCATGATAAGATCCACTGGTCCCCTACATTGGTACTAAGCAGGAGATAACAGATACTGTCTTGGCTGTACAAGTAACAACATAGGGGAGTGGCATAAACCAGCTTGAATGTAATGTTGAAGCTATGAAAAAGATTGTCCAATCATTTTGGTTCTGGGGAGGAAATGGGTTCCTAACTTCCCTCACAGATTGGTGCCCTCAAGGTCATTTTTATTCCTCAAGTCTGTCCTTAATGTCCTGCCAATGCCATTCAGAACTGGACCCAGTTGGATGGCTGTGGTGCCTGGTTTGGAACAGAGCTGCAAGACAGGAGAATAGAGAAAGCCAAAGACATAATATTAGGATAACAACTTCATGCTTTACATAATAGTTTCTAAGAAACCACTGCCTAGAATTTCCAAAACCATACTTCATGGCAATTCTACTTACCAAGGCCTGAAATATCTCACTCAAACCTCATCCTACAGCTTTCTCGTCCCACCATTCCCAGAACTACTGTATTTCCTTCTCTAGAACTCCTGCAAAAGACTCTAAGTGACCTGCAAATTCATTACGTTTCTAGATCAAAGATTTCAACTGACTGTACATATATCTTCTATACCCTGATTGAGAGTATGCTAGTTTCACTATGCCCATTACCTAGATGCAGTGCTGAAGTCTCCCCACAAGTCGTTGCTTGCAGAAATTGGAGTTGGTGCTGGCGTCGTGACAGGAGCAGGAGAATCCAAATCTAAAAGGATATCTAAATACAAGGTAAGAAAAGAAAAAAGAAAAGAGAAAAACATAATCAAAATCTTGGAAATAAGAATTTATGTTCACACACAAAAGTCTGTACACAAATGCCACAACAGCTTTATTCATAATGGTCAAAAACTAAACAACCTAAATGTCATTCCATGGGCAAGAGTTACACACACTGGTATATCCATACCATGGAATACTACTCAGCAATAAAAAGGAACATACTATTGACATACACAACTTGAATGAATCTCAAGGGAATTATGCTGAGTGGAAAAAGCCTATCCCAAAAGTGACATGCTGTTAGATTCCTTTATAGAATATTCCTGAAAGTGACAAAATTATAAAGATGGAGAACAGATTGGTGATTGCCAAGGGTTGGGAATGGGGGAAGAAAGGATGAGAGGGAGATGGGTGTGGTTATATAAGGTTGACACAGGGGATCTTTGTAGTGATTAAATTGTTCTATAGCCTGAAATGATGGTGGATCCATGAACCTATACATGACAAAACTGCATAGAACTGGCCAGATACAGTGGCTCACACCTGTAATCCCAGCATTTTGGGGGGCCAAGGCAGGAGGATCACTGTAGCCCAGAAGTTCGAGGCCAGCCTGGGTAACATAGTGAGACTCTGTTGCTACAAAAATGTAAAAATTAGCCAGGTGTGGCAGTGTGTACCTGTAGTCCCAGATGTTTGGGAGGCTGAGGCAGGAGGATCTCTTGAGCCCAGGAGTTTGAGGCTGCAGTGAGCCATGACTGCACTACTGTACTCTAGCCTGGGCAACAGAGCAAGACCCTGATGTGAAAAATAAAAAACAAACAAAAAAACCTGCAGAGAATATACAGATACACACAAATATGCACAGATGAGAACACGGAAAATGGTGTAAGCTGAATAAGATGAGAAAATAGTGTTAGTGTCAATTTTTCATTTGTGATACTTGACAATAGTTTTATAAAATATCACCAATTGAGGGAAACTGGGAAAAGGGCAAACAGGATCTCTTCATATTATTTATTATACTGCATGTTAATCTACAATTATCTTAAAATAAAAATTTAACTAAAAAAAAAATCTTAGATACTATCCCGAGTGTCTCCTAGCAACACTTACTGAAAGAAACAAGCTATGACATTTTCACCTCAAAAATTCCAGAAAGAGAAAGCTTACCCTTAGTAATCAATTCAACAACTTGTCTGCATTGTCCATCCAATATATTAAGTTAAAATTCCCAGATTCTAAGATACAGTTCTCTAATCTTAGAAAATTTCTTTTCTCAGTTCCAATGCTCATTTTTCAAATGAGAAGCTATAACCATACTCATTCTTTCTCCCAGCAGAAAGAATGAAAGTGTATGCACAAAACTAGATATCTTCTCCTTTTCTCCCAAATGCTCTTGTGAAGAAATGGGAAAGTTTAAGAAATAACATTTACCGGCCGGGCGCGGTGGCTCAAGCCTGTAATCCCAGCACTTTGGGAGGCCAAGCAGGTGGATCACGAGGTCAAGAGATAGAGACCATCCTGGTCAACATGGTGAAACCCCGTCTCTACTAAAAATACAAAAAATTAGCTGGGCATAGTGGCACGTGCCTATAATCCCAGCTACTCAGGAGGCTGAGGCAGGAGAATTGCCTGAACCCAGGAGGCGGAGGTGGCGGTGAGCCAAGATCGCACCATTGCACTCCAGCCCGGGTAACAAGAGCGAAAACTCCGTCTCAAAACAAAGAAATAAGTGGGAGGGGGAGGTGGGGAGGGATAGCCTGGGGAGAAACGCCAAATGTGGGTGAAGGGGTGAAAGCAAACAGAACACACTGCCATGTGTGTACCTATGCAACTGTATTGCATCCTCTGCACATGTACCCCAAAACCTAAAATGCAATAAAAAAAAAAATAAGAAAAAAAAAAAAAGAAATAACATTTACCAAATGGCTACTACATTCCAAGTGCTATACTAAGTGCTATCAAATAATTTAACCCTCGCTATCTTAAGATGGTATTCTTATTTTATTTATTATTTTTTTTTAATAAGATAGGGTCTCCCTCTGTCACCCAGGCTGGAGTACAGTGGTGCAAACATGGTTCACTGTAGCCTCAACCTCCCAGGCTCAAGCCATCCTCCCACCTCAGCCTCCCAAATAGGTGGGACTACAGGTGTGCACCACCATGTCCAACTAATTTTTGTATTTTTTTGTAGAGACAGGGTTTCGTCACATTGCCCAGGCTGATCTCAAATTCCTAAGCTCAAACAATCCACCCACCTCAGTCTCCCAAAGCATTAAGATTACAGGGGTGAGCCAAGGTGCCCAGCTGGTGATTTTACATCTCCAGTTTGTAGATAAGGAAATTCAGACTCAAAAAACTTAAGTAGTGTTTACCAAGCACATTCAAATATAAAGTAGCAGAGCCATGACCAAAATCTTGGTCCATCTGACTGAAAAACCTATAAGCATCTAACCAAGAAAAAAATGAAGGAAATAGTCTTTTTAATAAGCATATATTTTCTGCCAAAGAACCTACGAGATACTATGACTCTTAGTTCTAGAAAAGCTTTGATTCCTTGCTAGAAGCTGCCAGAATTACCTTGCCAGTACCATGAGCTATTTTGTAGCAAAAACGCCAACTCTCCTTGACAAACATGTGTTTCTCAATTAAAACCTAAGATTGGATTTCTCAAAATTAGAAGTACCAGATTTACCTGCATCACTGCCTCCATGGTTAGATTTTGGAATGGGTGGTGGGGTGACATGATTGCTGATGGCAACTGAGGAGGATGGTGGGGGAATAGTGACTTTGCCTCCTGGCGGGGGTGGGAGTAAGCTCAGGCCCCCACCCTTTGCAGTCCTGGGCTTAGAAGCACCTCCTTTCTTGGTTGTAATGTTCTACAAAAGAAAAAAGGGAGAACAAGAGAAAGATGTCACAGGCTTAGAGAAGCATAGGAAAACAAAATTTTTAAAAACCATACTCACCCCGATACTCAACTTGATGGTTTGTCCTTCCTTGAAGCCCAGATCCAACTTAGGACGAGCATCCATTTCTTGAGATTCCTTGGAAATCTCCGATTCCTGCTTTACCCACCTTTGGGAACACATCAAGTTATCTTAGTTTGAGATTTCCTGAAAGCAGAGTCTGACATACAAATTTGGGTTAATTTACCTCTATGAAATGGGATTCCAGAAAGCACAGTGAGAGATAAAGAAGAATGAGAAAAGAAAGGGAAAAAAAGCTGAGAGAGAAAACAACTGGGGTCCAACCCCACCGGGGACTCTCTGAAAAATCTTAAGGAATACATCTTAGACTTGCCCCTTCCAAAAGGATAGCATTTAGCCAATTCCCATTCCCCACAGTTGGGGGCTGCTCCTAAGAGGGTGTTAATATCTTAGTCTTTCCAAGTTAAACCTTGTGCTTAGCTTTCTACAACTTCAGAGAGCTCTGAGGCAGAAAAGAAAAGATACGCTTGCTCTTGAGGTAGGAAGCTGACAGTGTACATAGCTGTCAACCCCAGCTGCACCAAAATCAAGGGGACTAAAGAAATGTTGCAATAGTCACAAAACATGTCAGCTACATAAGGCAACAAGAGTGGCACACAACTCCCCAGATAAAGCCCTGCTGTTACTGTCAGCCTCCCTCTACCACCTAAAAGATGGGGCAAATTCAACAGAGCATCACTTCAAACTACAGCACAAGGGATCTAAAACCTACTGCAGGCTATAAGGAAAGGAAACATAGAATAGACACAAAGATGACCTAAGGAAACAAAAGTGAATGGGGAGATTTATATTCATAATGAAGTAGCTTAAGAAATAAAGAAACCAGGAGGTAAAAAAGATACTGCCCATTCATGTGAGAAGCAGCATTCCTATAACCAACCTGGTAACTAAGGACAAGCTTCACTCACTTGAAGTGATCCTGCAAGGAGACATTGAAGTCGAAGGCATCTCCCCGATCTGTGAAGCCAATGCCAATGAAAGCACTGCGCCCTGTGAAAGAGGTAGGAAGACTCGACTAGGAAGTATCCTCTATGGCAGGAGGCCCCAACCCCCAGTACCCGTCTGTGGCCTGTTAGAAACCAGGCCGTACAGCAGGAGGTGAGTTGCACCCAAGAGAGGGAAGCTTCATCGCATTTTCAGCTGCTCCCCATTGCTTGCATTACCACCTGAGCTCTGCCTCCTGTCGGATCAGTGGCAGCATTAGATTCTCACAGGGGAGTGAACCCTACTGTGAACTGTGCATGTGAGGGATCTAAGTTGTGTGCTCCTTATGAGAATCTAATGCCTGATGATCTGTCACTGTCTCCCATCACCCCCAGACAGGACCATCTAGTTGCAGGAAAACAAGCTCAAGGTCCACATTGATTCTAAATTATAGTGAGTTGTATAATTATTTCATTACACATTACAATGTAATAATAATAGAAATAAAGTGAACAATAAACGTAATGCACTTGAATCATCTTGAAACCATTCCCTAATGCCCGTCTACAGAAAACTGTCTTTCACAAAATGGGTCCCTGGTACCAAAAAGGTTGGGGACTGCTGTTCTATGGCAACTTTTGCCCAATGAAAATATAACAGTTAACCTAACTAGACAAAGTCTGTGAATGTGAAACATTTTCTCTTAGACCAAGAGTCAGTAAACTACATACAGTCCATGAGCCTTATCCTGTCATAGCTTGGTCTTGTAGAAAAAATTTTATTGGAACATAGCCAATCAATTTGTTTACATATTTTCTACAGTGCTTTCACACTGCAACAGCAAAACTGGGTAGTTGCAACAAAGGCCACTTGACCTGCAAAACTTAAAGAATGTATTATTTGTCTCTGTTTGCCAACCTCTGTTATAGACCATGGAGAAAAGATTGAAAGACTGAGCATCACTACCCCACACATAGATGATTCAAGATTAGTCTCACCACAAATAATAAATAAGCAAAATGTGTTAATTCTTTTTTTTTTTTTTTTTAAAGACAGAGTTTCGCTCTTGTTGCCCATGCTGGAGTGGAATGGTGTGATCTCGGCTCACTGCAACCTCCACCTCCCCGGTTCAAGCAACACTCCTGACTCAGCCTCCCGAGTAGCTGGGATTACAGGCACGTGCCACCATGCTCAGCTGATTTTTCTATTTTTAATAGAGACAGGGTTTCACCATATTGGTCAGGCCAGTCTCGAACTCCTGACCTCAGGTGATCCGTCCGTCTTGGCCTCCCAAAGTGTAAAATGTGTTAATTCTTTTGTTAAGTATACGTTTTGATTTATAAGTCTACATGTGAATTACCACATCTTGAACTTTTGTTCATATCTATTACAAATAACATGTTAATACTTTTCCTTTAGCAACTACAGTAACTTTAGATAAAGGGAAGAAAAAATGTAGTAAACCAAAGAAAGATCAATGCAATCAGACACACTTTTCATGGCTGTGCATTCACCTGTTTTACTAACTTCATCCCATTCAAAAATCCCATTTCTCTTACCAGTTCCATCCTGGATCCGGATTACAAAGTAGCGGCTGGAATCTGTCACTGTCTCCACAGCAATCCCAGGATACTGTTCTACTGGTGCCTGGGCAAAGAGCTCTCCTGACAGATAAGAAAAATACTTTTTTGAGCAAAAAAGCCAAAACCCAGAACTCTAATTAACAAGTATTTCCATTCCAGTCCCCAACTTGAAGGTACTTACAAAAGCACACCAAACTAATATATTTATTGTTAGAGAGTCACCTGCAAAGATTACCTGAAACTTTATCCTCGAGTTTGATATAGGCAATCTTCCCTTTTGAAGTGATTCGGAGGCGACCAGTCCAATCAGGCTGGTCTAATTTCCAGTCAGATGCCCTAGGACGGGAAAAGAGAAAGCCTCAGGCACATGTTTTTAATTTACTAAAGCCAACCCAGAATCTTTGACTGTATCTCTATTTCCCTGTCCTAGATTGCGTATTCTTTCTATCCATTAATCAACAAGAATAATTCATGATCTGTTTAGATGCCTCATGTTATATATAGTCCAAAGCAAGTAAAAGAAGACAGTGCTGCTACTTAAGGACTTCGGAATCCAATAAGCATCATTAAAAACATGTAAAAGCGTGAATAAAAGCAATAAAAAATAAAATTTTGGTCTGGTGCAGTGGCTCAAGCCTATAATCCCAGCACTTTGGGAGGCCAAAGTAGGTGGATCACTTGAGGTCAGGAGTTTAAGATCAGCCTGGCCAACATGGTGAAACCCCATCATCTCTTCTAAAAACACAAAAATTAGCTGGGTGTGGTGGTATGCACCTGTAATCCCTTGGGAGGAAGAGGCAGAGAAACTTGAACCTGGGAGATGGAGATTGCAGTGAGCTGAGATTGTGCCACTGCACTCCAGCCTGGGCGACAGAATGAGACTGGGTCTCAAAAATAAATAAATAAAATTTCTCATAACGATGCAATTTTCAAACTATAGATGATATACTAGATAACAATTGCTTTACTGATCGATAATCATGAAGTCTACTAATTTAAATATCCTAGGTAATGGCAGCGCTCCCAAATCACTAAATATACTATCTTTCACTGAACTCAACCAATATTTATATAACACTTATTAAGACAGAGGCACCACCGTTCGAGATGCTTAAGATACAACAGCAATCAAAACAAAGATTTCTACCCTCATGAGGCTTATATTCTAACAGAAGATAGAAAATAAAAAAGAAACATAATAAATAGCATAATTAGTATCTTAGAAGGTGGTAAGTTCTAAGGTAAAGAGAATAGATAGAGGTATATTAGGAAGATTGAGAAGACAGAGGGAGAGTGAACAGGTTGTAACATTCAAGAGGGTGGTTAGAGTAGGTCTCATTAAGGTGAAACATGAGCTAAAATGTGAAGCAAGTGAGTCATCTACCCATACAGATATCTAGAGGGAAAGGATTCTAGGCATAGGCAATAGCTAGCATGAAGGTGCTGAGGTCGCGGCATGCCTAGCATGTTTGAGAGACAGCAAGGAAGCCACCGTGGTTAGAACAGAGTAAGAGACAAGGTGGGAGAGGTAACAGAGGGCCAGATCATGCAGGCCATAGTAACAACTTCAGCTTTCACTCTGAGTGAAAAAAGAGCTATTACAGATTTTAAGCAGAGGTGTGACATGATCTCCCTTATACTCTAAAAAGATTACTACAGCTGCTGTCTGGAGAAAAGCTGTAGGGATAAGAGGACTGAAGCAGGGGGATTAGCTAAGAGACTACTGCAGTAATCTAGAAAAGTCACAATGGTGGCAGAAGTGATTAGACTCTGGATATATTTAGGGTAAAGGCAGCAGGATTTCTAAGGGATTAGATGTGGGATAGAAGAGAAAAAGAGAAGCAAGGATGACTCCAAGGTGTTTAGCCTGAGCAAAGGAGTTCCAATAATTGACGCAGAGTAGACAGTTAAATACATTACATGAGTTCAGGAAAGATATCTGGGCTGGAAATACAAACATCCATGAAAACATTAGAAATATATAAAATGTGGTATAATCAACTTGAACAACACCTAAGATTATTTATGACACATTTTACAAAATATTGCATTTGTGATTTGTTTTGCCAGGAGTATGGAAAAGGGATTAGCAAAGTAAAAGTTATTAATAATTCATCCTTGAGGAAACCAAAGACTAATACTTGAAGGCTAGAAAAGCAACAATAAGGTATATCTGAACAAGAATGAGTTTAACAAGGTGAGAGGTAAAAAGCTGAAAGGAGGAAAATGAAAATGAGCAAAGGTTTCTAACAGGATCTGTAAAATAAATCCTTCCCATTCTCCTTCCTCTTGATTCCCTGCCTCAAAGACCCTCAAGTACCTAAATCTGATCCGGATTAGAGAGCTCTAAAGTTCCTCATCTATTATATTTTTTAATGAGTCATTACTAATTCTAATCATATAAGCCATTAGAGCTAATGTGAGCCACCAAGAGCTAATGTAAACAGGCTATTAAAAATATTAGGAACAGCCAGGCGCAGTGGAGCATGCCTGTAATCCCAGCACATTGGGAGGCTGAGGCAGGACTGCTTGAGCCCAAAAGTTCAAGGATGCAGTGAGCTATGACTGACCCACTGCACTCCAGCCTGAGTCACAGGGCAAGGCTCTGTCTCTTAAAAAAAAGTTAGGAACAAGCCTGTTAAACTATTAAATGCATTCTTCTTGGACAAGTTCCTTATTTATCTTGCATATCTAGTGCCCAATATTTAACAAATTATGTAAGTAAATGGACATTCATAACAACAGATTCACGGTAAAATTCCAAATGTACATTTTATTAAATCCTTATATTAGCTATGTGAAATAACCATGAAAAGCCTATCATATCTCTTTATCTCTAAATAACAGAAAGGGTAACACAGTAAGTAATAGTCTAACTTCAAAATCCATTATTCTTTCATTACACTGAAACACACTAGAGAGATAAATCCTGATTTAGCTAAGGGAAGAGGCTAGTGAATAATTTTTTTAAAAAATAGTTTTATAGGTTGGAAAACTTTTCTGTGTGTGTGTGTATGAGAGAGAGAGACAGACACAGACAGACAGACACACGATCTTGGCTCACTGCAACCTCCACCTCCCAGGTTCAAGCGATTCTCCTGACTTAGCCTCCAGAGTACCTGAGATTACAGGCACCCGCCACCATGCCCAGCTAATTTCTTTTGTATTTCTAGTAAAGATGGGTTCTACCATGTTGGCCAAGCAGGTTTCAAACTCATGACTTCAGGTAATCCATCCGCCTCAACCTCCCAAAGTGCTGGGATTACAGGCTGAAGCCACCGTGCCCAGCCTGCTTTCTAATCATTTAGGTTTCTTTTTTTTTTTTTTTTTAAAGGAGTCTCGCTCTGTCATCCAGGCTGGAGTGCAGTGGTGTGATCTCAGCTCACTGCAACCTCCACCACCTGGGTTCAAGCGATTCTCCTGCCTCAGCCTCCCAAGTAGCTGGAACTACAGGCACAGGCCACCAGGCCTGGCTAATTTTTTTGTATTTTTGTAGACAGGGTTTCACCATGTTGACCAGGCTGGTCTGGAACTCCTGACCTCAAGTGATCTTCGCCCCTCAGCCTCCCAAAGTGCTGGAATTACAGGCATGAGCCACCGCACTCAGACTCTAAGTTTCTTGTCAACCCAAATGTTCTTTCTCAGTCTAGAAGTCTGGTCAGTGAAAGTCTGGGAAGGAACAGCTTACACTAGGTAAATTAAAGTCAATTATTCTCTTTAATCTTATCAATCGCCCAAGGAAGAATTCCTCCTGCTTGCTAAAAAGCCGTTTGTCCTTTAATATCAGCCTAGATAATGAATCCTGCTCATAATAGAAAGTGGGTTCTGGTGAACAAGAAAAATTATGCAGACAAAAAGAAAGCGAACATTTACAAAACCAAGCATTTATTATGTTCCAGTCATTACGCCCATTCTTGTGTAAATTAAGTGAGAGGACCCTGCAAGGTAACTATTGTTATATTCATTTTTACAAATAAAGAAACCAACATTCAAAAGTGTTATGTGATTTGCCAAAGATAACCCAGCAAATAAGTATAGTGATTCAAACTTAAATCTGCTCTCTCATGTACTGTACTAAAAAAGTGACTAATGACAACATGCCTCTTGGAGGATTAAAAAATGCCAATAGGCATGGAAAACATAGAAGGGTAAGAGTAGGTTGGAGGCGTAAGGCGTGCGGGCCCGGAGCGGGCGCCTCCCGCCCGAGAACATGCAGAGGCCGGCCCAGGCGGCACAGTAGCCGGAGCGGGGTCCGGAGCGGGCTCCGTAGCCAGTGGGCACAGGGCCTGGAGCGGGGGTCCTCACCGCGCTGCTGAGCCCGGGCCGGCTGCCCAGACGCTGCCCATAGGCCCGGCCACAGCGGAGCCAAGCTGTGAACTGTGAGCTTTGAGGCAGTGGGACCTGTCAGCAGACTGTCTCCTGTCCCCGAGAGCGACCCCGAGGCCACCAAGATGAGCACCTCAGCCTGGCCGGCCCAAGCGCCTGCATCTCAGTAGCCGGGAGCTGCAGGCCCCGCCCGCCCGCTGCCTGGATGTTCTAGCCTCAGAGGAGCCAGGACCTCAGGTTTCCACAGACGTGGGACTTGCAGGGCAGCAGTCACCGTGGAGAGGCCAAGGTATCACGAACTTATGGATTTTGACAAGAAAGGAGGGAAAGGGGAGACGGAGGAGGGCCGGAGAATGTCCAAGGCAGGCGGGGACCGAAGCAGCCAGCATCTGGAGCCCGGGGACCAGCTCGGGGGTCCTGATGGTGGGCCCCAACTTCCGCATCGGCAAGAAGATCGGCTGTGGCAACTTCGGGGAGCTCCGCCTAGGAAAGAATCTCTTTACAAATAAATAAGTGGCTATCAAATGGGAGCCGATTAAGTCACGGGCCCCACAGCTGCACTTGGAGTAGCAGCTCTACAAGCAGCTCAGTGCCACAGAGGGCGTCCCTCAGGTCGACTACTTCGGCCAGTGTGGGCGGTACAACGCCATGGTGCTGGAGCTGCTGGGGCCCAGCCTGGAGGACCTGTTTGACCTGTGTGACCGGACCTTGACGCTCAAGACGGTGCTGATGATCGCCATCCAGCTGATCACGCGCATGGAGTACTGCACACCGAGAGCCTCATCTACCCGGACATGAAGCCCGAGAACTTCCTGGTGGGCCGCCCAGGGACCAAGCAGCAGCACGCCATCCACATCATTGACTTCGGGCTGGCCAAGGAGTACATCGACCCCAGACCAAGAAGCACATCCCTTACCGCGAGCACAAGAGCCTGACAGGCACAGCGCGCTACATGAGCATCAACACGCACCTGGGCAAGGACGTGTTGCCACGACGACCTGGAGGCGCTG